TATTCTCCACATATAATGAAGTCTATCGATCCTATTCTCAACCAATGATTAAGCACATTAAGCATATATTTGGGCGAATTTATTTTGGGATGGCATTTTCGTAATATTTTAGACGATTTTTTTCGAAAGGCCATAACCATGGATTTTGAAGGCTACAGATCACGGATTCGGTCTGAGGCTATTCTTCAATGATGATGAAGTCAATTAAGCACCGATTCGGTCGAATATCTTCCGTGTCAATTTTTGGCAGATCCCAAAGGGCTACCATCACCGATTTCGGGCGATTTTTCCGAAATGCCATTTTCTTTTGATTTTTAAGGCTACTGATCACGGATTCAACCCGAGGCTATTCTCCACATATAATGAAGTTTTTTGATCCTATTCTCCGCCAATGATTAAGCCCATTATCCATCGATTTGGGCGCATTTATTTTGGGATGGCATTTTCGTAATATTTTAGACGATCCTTTTCGAAAGGCCATTTACCATGGATTTGAAGGCTACAGATCACGGATTCGGTCTGAGGCTATTCTTCAACGATGATTAAGTCCATTAAGCACCGATTCGGGCGGATATCTTCCGGGTCAATTTTTGGCAGATCCCAAAGGGCTACCATCACCGATTTTGGGCTATTTTTCCGAAATGCCATTTTCTTTTGATTTTTAAGGCTACTGATCACGGATTCAACCCGAGGCTGTTCTCCACATATAATGAAGTTTATTGATCCTATTCTCCGCCAATGATTAAGCCCATTATCCATCGATTTGGGCGCATTTATTTTGAAATGGCATTTTCGTAATATTTTAGACGATCATTTTCGAAAGGCCATTTACTATGGATTTTGAAGGCTACAGATCACGGATTCGGTCTGATACTATTCTTCAATGATGATGAAGTCCATTAAGCACCGATTCGGGCGAATATCTTTCGGGTCAATTTTTGGCATATCCCAAAGGGCTACCATCACCGATTTCGGGCTATTTTTCCAAAATGCCATTTTCTTTTGATTTTTAAGGCTACTGATCACGGATTCAACCCGAGGCTATTCTCCACATATAATGAAGTTTATTGATCCTATTCTCCGCCAATGATTAAGCCCATTATCCATCGATTTGGGCGCATTTATTTTGAAATGGCATTTTCGTAATATTTTAGACGATCATTTTCGAAAGGCCATTTACCATGGATTTTGAAGGCTACAGATCACGGATTCGGTCTGAGGCTATTCTTCAATGATGATGAAGTCAATTAAGCACCGATTCGGTCGAATATCTTCCGTGTCAATTTTTGGCAGATCCCAAAGGGCTACCATCACCGATTTCGGGCGATTTTTCCGAAATGCCATTTTCTTTTGATTTTTAAGGCTACTGATCACGGATTCAACCCGAGGCTATTCTCCACATATAATGAAGTTTTTTGATCCTATTCTCCGCCAATGATTAAGCCCATTATCCATCGATTTGGGCGCATTTATTTTGGGATGGCATTTTCGTAATATTTTAGACGATCCTTTTCGAAAGGCCATTTACCATGGATTTTGAAGGCTACAGATCACGGATTCGGTCTGAGGCTATTCTTCAACGATGATTAAGTCCATTAAGCACCGATTCGGGCGGATATCTTCCGGGTCAATTTTTGGCAGATCCCAAAGGGCTACCATCACCGATTTTGGGCTATTTTTCCGAAATGCCATTTTCTTTTGATTTTTAAGGCTACTGATCACGGATTCAACCCGAGGCTATTCTCCACATATAATGAAGTTTATTGATCCTATTCTCCGCCAATGATTAAGCCCATTATCCATCGATTTGGGCGCATTTATTTTGAAATGGCATTTTCGTAATATTTTAGACGATCCTTTTCGAAAGGCCATTTACCATGGATTTTGAAGGCTACAGATCACGGATTCGGTCTGATGCTATTCTTCAATGATGATGAAGTCCATTAAGCACCGATTCGGGCGAATATCTTCCGGGTCAATTTTTGGCATATCCCAAAGGGGTACCATCACCGATTTCGGGCTATTTTTCCAAAATGCCATTTTCTTTTGATTTTTAAGGCTACTGATCACGGATTCAACCCGAGGCTATTCTCCACATATAATGAAGTCTATTGATCCTATTCTCCGCCAATGATTAAGCCCATTATCCATCGATTTGGGCGCATTTATTTTGGGATGGCATTTTCGTAATATTTTAGACGATCCTTTTCGAAAGGCCATTTACCATGGATTTTGAAGGCTACAGATCACGGATTCGGTCTGAGGCTATTCTTCAACGATGATGAAGTCCATTAAGCACCGATTCGGGCGAATATCTTCTGGGTCAATTTTTGGCATATCCCAAAGGGGTACCATCACCGATTTCGGGCGATTTTTCCGAAATGACATTTTCTTTCGATTTTGGAGGTTACAGATTACGGATTCAACCCGCGGCTATTCTCCACATATAATGAAGTCTATTGATCCTATTCTCCGTCAATGATTAAGCCCATCAAGCATAGATTTGGGCGGATTTATTTTGGGATGGCATTTTCGTAATATTTTTGACGATTTTTTTCGAAAGGCCATTTACACTGGATTTTGAAGGCTACAGATCAGGGATTCGGTCTGAGGCTATTCTTCAACGATGATTAAGTCCATTAAGCACCGATTCAGGCGGATATCTTCTGGGTCAATTTTTGGCAGATCCCAAAGGGGTACCATCACCGATTTCGGGCGATTTTTCCGAAATGCCATTTTCTTTCGATTTTGGCGGCTACAGATCACGGATTCAACCCGAGGCTATTCTCCACATATAATGAAGTCTATTGATCCTATTTTCCGTCAATGATTAAGCCCATCAAGCATCAATTTGGGAGAATTTATTTTGGGATGACATTTTCGTAATATTTTAGACGATCCTTTTCGAAAGGCCATTTACCATGGATTTTGAAGGCTACATATCACGGATTCTGTCTGAGGCTATTCTTCAGCGATGATTAAGTCCATTAATGATATGATCCCAAAAAGGCCAGTCTACAAATTGGAATTACTTGACGAAGAAGCAAGCTCAAGCTGCCTGAAGAACATTCATTTTTGTCAGTGTCATTTTCCGTGTTCAAGTAGCAGATTTTGGAGGCACGTTCTCTCAATTGGCTCAATGGAAATTCAAATTTAATGGCTTGTATTGAACATGGAGTGATTATCTACATCCTGGTATGCTTGGTTTCTCAAGAAGAAGTCATTAAGGTTGTTTTCCAAAGTCTCAAAGTTGCAACCTCAAAACTGGAAAACTGCCAGAATTTGGAGCTCCGTTCCAGAATCATGGATGAGATTCGAGTCCAGAGGATTATACCACATGAAAGTAGGTATGTTCTACTACAAAGACATGGCATTGGATGATTGGAAGCTTACCTGGAAGGCTTTGATCGAGAGGCTCAAAGATGGCATCAAAGCAGTTTGGTTACTTGGAGCTAAAGGCAGATTTTCCTTTTCTTGTTTAGTTAGGATTTCATTGTTTTGGTAGTTTTTATTCCTTTTCGTATTAGAATGTAATTAGGAGTTTATGGGACGTGTGTAACCCAAGCTAGGCCTATTTAAGCTTTCTATTTCGTTGTAAAACTAAGACTTTGATTAATCGAATTGAGAACCTTTTGGTTTTTGTGCAAGTTGCGACTTGTGTTGAGTTTGGTGGATTCCAAGCTCGTGAGCTCTTGTATCGATTGAATAGTCACTTCAATCGTGGTCGGGCATCTACCTTTTATACCAATCGAGCGTTCCCCAGGTGTGGAATCGTCCTTTTGGTTCCGTTTTATCCAAGTTCGTATTAAGAACGCGTTGTTCTTGATTCGAGTCAATCGGTTCTTCGATTGAGTAGTTAGCTGCGTGACTTTAATAATATACACCCCCCAAGGGGCGTATTAATTAAGCACCTATTCGGGCGAATATCTTCAGGGTCAATTTTTGGCATATCCCAAAGGGGTACCATCACCGATTTCGGGCGATTTTTCCGAAATGACATTTTCTTCCGATTTTGGTGGCTACAGATCACGGATTCAACCCGAGGCTATTCTCCAAATATAATGAAGTCTATTGATCCTATTCTCCGCCAATGATTAAGCCCATCAAGCATCAATTTGGGCGAATTTATTTTGGGATGGCATTTTCGTAATATTTTAGACGATCCTTTTCGAAAGGCCATTTACCATGGATTTTGAAGGCTACAGATCACGGATTCGGTCTGAGGCTATTCTTCAATAATTATTAAGTTCATTAATCACCGATTCGGGTGAATATCTTCCGTGTCAATTTTTGGCAGTTCCCAAAGGGGTACCATCACAAATTTCAGGCGATTTTTCCGAAATGCCATTTTCTTTCGATTTTGGAGGCTACAGATTACGGATTCAACCCGAGGCTATTCTCCACATATAATGAAATCTATTGATCCTATTCTCCATCAATGATTAAGCCCATCAAGCATCAATTTGGGCGGATTTATTTTGGGTTGGCATTTTCGTAATATTTTAGACGATTTTTTTCGAAAGGCCATTTACACTGGATTTTGAATGCCACAGATCACGGATTCGGTCTGAGGCTATTCTTCAACGATGATTAAGTCCATTAAGCTCCGATTCTGGAGGATATCTTCCGGGTCAATTTTTGGCAGATCCCAAAGGGGTACCACCACCCATTTCGGGCGATTTTTCCGAAATGCCATTTTATTTCGATTTTGGAGGCTACAAATCACGGATTCAACCCAAGTCTATTCTCCACATATAATGAAGTCTATCGATCCTATTCTCCGCCAATGATTAAGCCCATTAACCATATATTTGTGCGAATTTATTTTGGGATGGCATTTTCGTAATATTTTAGACGATTTTTTTTCGAAAGGCCATTAACCATGGATTTTGAAGGCTACAAATCAAGGATTCGGTCTGAGGCTATTCTTCAACGATGATTAAGTCCATTAAGCACCGATTCGGGCGGATATCTTCCAGGTCAATTTTTGGCAGATCCCAAAGGGGTACCATCACCGATTTCGGGCTATTTTTCCGAAATGCCATTTTCTTTTGATTTTTAAGGCTACTAATCACGGATTCAACCCGAGACTATTCTCCACGTATAATGAAGTCTATTGATCCTATTCTCTGCCATTAATTAAGCCCATTATCCATAGATTTGGGTGCATTTATTTTGGGATGGCATTTTCGTAATATTTTAGACGATCCTTTTTGAAAGGCCATTTACCATGGATTTTGAAGGCTACAGATCACGGATTCGGTCTGAGGCTATTCTTCTACGAGGATGAAGTCCATTAAGCACCGATTCGGCCGAATATCTTCAGGGTCAATTTTTGGCATATCCCAATGGTACCATCACCGATTTCGGACGATTTTTCCGAAATGACATTTTCTTTTGATTTTTAAGGCTACTGATCACGGATTCAACCCGAGGCAATTCCCCACATATAATGAAGTCTATTGATCCTATTCTCCGCCAATGATTAAGCCCATTATCCATCGATTAGGGCGCATTTATTTTGGGATGGCATTTTCGTAATATTTTAGACGATCCTTTTCGAAAGGCCATTTACCATGGATTTTGAAGGCTACAGATTACGGATTCGGTCTGAGGCTATTCTTCAATGATGATGAAGTCCATTAATCACCGATTCTGGCGAATATCTTCCCGATCAATTTTTGGCATATCCCAAAGGTGTACCATCACCGATTTCGTGCTATTTTTCCGAAATGCCATTTTCTTTTGATTTTTAAGGCTACTAATCACGGATTCAACCCGAGGCTATTCTCCACATATAATGAAGTCTATTGATCCTATTCTCCGCCAATGATTAAGCCCATTATCCATCGATTTGGGCGCATTTATTTTGGGATGGCATTTTCGTAATATTTTAGACGATCCTTTTCGAAAGGCCATTTACCATGGATTTTGAAGGCTACAGATCACGGATTCTGTCTGAGGCTATTCTTCAATGATGATGAAGTCCATTAAGCACCGATTCGGGCGAATATCTTCCGGGTCAATTTTTGGCATATCCCAAAGGGGTACCATCACCGATTTCGGGCTATTTTTCCGAAATGCCATTTTCTATTGATTTCGAAAGGCCATTTACCATGGATTCAACCCGAGGCTATTCTCCACATATAATGAAGTCTATTGATCCTATTCTCCGTCAATGATTAAGCCCATCAAGCATCGATTTGGGCGAATTTATTTTGGGATGGCATTTTCGTAATATTTTAGACGATTTTTTTCGAAAGGCCATTTACACTGGATTTTGAAGGCTACAGATCACGGATTCGGTCTGAGGCTATTCTTCAACGATGATTAAGTCCATTAAGCACCGATTCGGGCGGATATCTTCCAGGTCAATTTTTGGCATATCCCAAAGGGGTACATCACCGATTTCGAGCGATATTTCCAAAATGCCATTTTCTTTCGATTTTTTAGGCTACAGATGACGGATTCAAACCGAGGCTATTCTCCACATATAATGAAGTCTATTGATCCTATTCTCCTTCAATGATTAAGCCCATCAAGCATCGATTTGGGCGAATTTATTTTGGGATGGCATTTTCGTAATATTTTAGACGATTCTTTTCGAAAGGCCATTTACCATGGATTTGGAAGGCTACAGATCACGGATTCGGCCTGAGGCTATTCTTCAACGATGATTAAGTCCATTAAGCACCGATTCAACCGGATATTTTTCGGGTCAATTTTTGGCTGATCCCAAAGGGGTACCATCACCGATTTCGGGCGATTTTTCCGAAATCACATTTTCTTTCGATTTTGGAGGCTACAGATCACGGATTCAACCCGAGGCTATACTCCACATATAATGAAGTCTATTGATCCTATTCTCCGCCAATGATTAAGCACATTAAGCATCGATTTGGGCAAATTTATTTTGGGATGGCATTTGCGTAATATTTTAGACGATTTTTTTTAAAAGGACATTTACCATGGATTTTGAAGGCTACAGATCACGGATTCAGTCCGAGGCTATTCTTCAACGATGGTTAAGTCATATAAGCACCGATTCGGGCGAATATCTTCCGGGTCGATTTTTGGCAGATCCCAAAGGGGTACCATCACCGATTTCGGGCGATTTTTCCGAAATGACATTTTCTTTCAATTTGGGAGGCTACATATCACGGATTCAACCCGAGGCTATCCTCCACATATAATGAAGTCTATTGATCCAATTCTCCGCCAATGATTGAGCCCATTAAGCATCGATTTGAGCAAATTTATTTTGGAATGGCATTTTCTTCATGTTTTAGACGATTTTTTTCGAAAGGCCATTTACCATGGATTTTGAAGGCTACAGATCACAGATTTAGTCAAAGGGTATTCTTCAACGATGATTAAGTCCATTAAGCACCGATTCGGCCGGATATCTGCCTGGTCAATTTTTGGCAGATCCCAAAGGGATACCATCACCAATTTCGGGCGATTTGACATTTTCTTTTGATTTTTAAGGCTACTGATCACGGATTCAACCAGAGGCAATTCTCCACATATAATAAAGTCTATTGATCCTATTCTCCGCCAATGATTAAGCCCCTCAAGCATCGATTTGGGCGAATTTATTTTGGGATGGCATTTTCGTAATATTTTAGACTATCCTTTTCGAAAGGCCATTTAGCATGGATTTTGAAGGCTACAGATCAAGGATTCGGTCTTAGGCTATTCTTCAACGATGATGAAGTCCATTAAGCACCGATTCGGGCGAATATCTTCTGGGTCAATTTTTGGCATATCCCAAAGGGGTACCATCACCGATTTCGGGCGATTTTTCCGAAATGACATTTTCTTTCGATTTTGGAGGCTACAGATCACGGATTCAACCCGAGGCTATTCTCCACATATAATGAAGTCAATTGATCCTATTCTCCGTCAATGATTAAGCCCATCAAGCATCGATTTGGGCGAATTTATTTTGGCATGGCATTTTCGTAATATTTTAGACAATTTTTTTCGAAAGGCCATTTACACTGGATTTTGAAGGCTACAGATCACGGCTTCGGTCTGAGGCTATTCTTCAACGATGATTAAGTCCATTAAGCACCGATTCAACCGGATATTTTTCGGGTCAATTTTTGGCTGATCCCAAAGGGGTACCATCACCGATTTCGGGCGATTTTTCCGAAATGACATTTTCTTTCGATTTTGGAGGCTACATATCACGGATTCAACCCGAGGCTATACTCCACATATAATGAAGTCTATTGATCCTATTCTCCGCCAATGATTAAGCACATTAAGCATCGATTTGGGCAAATTTATTTTGGGATGGCATTTGCGTAATATTTTAGACGATTTTTTTTAAAAGGACATTTACCATGGATTTTGAAGGCTACAGATCACGGATTCAGTCCGAGGCTATTCTTCAACGATGGTTAAGTCATATAAGCACCGATTCGGGCGAATATCATCCGGGTCGATTTTTGGCAGATCCCAAAGGGGTACCATCACCGATTTCGGGCGATTTTTCCGAAATGACATTTTCTTTCAATTTGGGAGGCTACATATCACGGATTCAACCCGAGGCTATCCTCCACATATAATGAAGTCTATTGATCCAATTCTCCGCCAATGATTGAGCCCATTAAGCATCGATTTGATCAAATTTATTTTGGGATGGCATTTTCTTAATGTTTTAGACGATTTTTTTCGAAAGGCCATTTACCATGGATTTTGAAGGCTACAGATCACAGATTTAGTCTGAGGGTATTCTTCAACGATGATTAAGTCCATTAAGCACCGATTCGGCCGGATATCTGCCTGGTCAATTTTTGGCAGATCCCAAAGGGATACCATCACCAATTTCGGGCGATTTGACATTTTCTTTTGATTTTTATGGCTATTGATCACGGATTCAACCAGAGGCAATTCTCCACATATAATAAAGTCTATTGATCCTATTCTCCGCCAATGATTAAGCCCATCAAGCATCGATTTGGGCGAATTTATTTTGGGATGGCAATTTCGTAATATTTTAGACTATCCTTTTCGAAAGGCCATTTAGCATGGATTTTGAAGGCTACAGATCAAGGATTCGGTCTTAGGCTATTCTTCAACGATGATGAAGTCCATTAAGCACCGATTCGGGCGAATATCTTCTGGGTCAATTTTTGGCATATCCCAAAGGGGTACCATCACCGATTTCGGGCGATTTTTCCGAAATGACATTTTCTTTCGATTTTGGAGGCTACAGATCACGGATTCAACCCGAGGCTATTCTCCACATATAATGAAGTCTATTGATCCTATTCTCCGTCAATGATTAAGCCCATCAAGCATCGATTTGGGCGAATTTATTTTGGGATGGCATTTTCGTAATATTTTAGACGATTTTTTTCGAAAGGCCATTTACACTGGATTTTGAAGGCTACAGATCACGGATTCGGTCTGAGGCTATTCTTCAACGATGATTAAGTCCATTAAGCACCGATTCGGGCGGATATCTTCCGGGTCAATTTTTGGCAGATCCCATCACCGATTTCGAGCTATTTTTCCGAAATGCCATTTTCTTTTGATTTTTAAGGCTACTGATCACGGATTCAACCCGAGGCTATTCTCCACATATAATGAAGTCTATTGATCCTATTCTCCGCCAATGATTAAGCCCATTATCCATCGATTTGGGCGCATTTATTTTGGGATGGCATTTTCGTAATATTTTAGACGATTCTTTTCGAAAGGCCATTTACCATGGATTTTGAAGGCTACAGATCACGGATTCGGTCTGAGGCTAATATTCAAAGATGATTTATTACATTAAGCACCGATTCGGGCGGACATCTTCCGGGTCAATTTTTGGCAGATCCCAAACGGGTATCATCACCGATTTCGGGCGATTTTTCCGAAATGCCATTTTCTTTCGATTTTGGAGGCTACAGATGACGGATTCAAACCGAGGCTATTCTCCAGAAATAATGAAGTCTATTAATCATAATCTCCAAAAATGATTAAGCCCATTTAGTATCGATTTGTGCAAATTTATTTTGTGATGGTATTTTCGTAATATTTTAGACGATTCTTTTCGAAAGGCCATTTACCATGGATTTTGAAGGCTACAGATTACGGATTCGGTCTGAGACTATTCTTCAACGACAATTAAGTCCATTAAGCACCGATTCTGCCGGATATCTTCCGAGTAAATTTTTGGCAGATTCCAAAGGGGTACCATCACCGATTTCAGGCAATTTTTAGAAATGCCATTTTCTTTCGATTTTGGAGGCTACAGATCACGAATTCAACCCGAGGCTATTCTCCACATATAATGAAGTCTAACGATCCTATTATCTGCCAATGATTAAGCCCATTAAGCATATATTTGGCCGAATTTATTTTGGGATGGCATTTTCGTAATATTTTAGATGATTTTTTTCGAAAGGCCATTTACCTTGGATTTTGGAGGCTACAGATCACGGATTCGGTCTGAGGCTATTCTTCAACGATGATTAAGTCCATTAAGCACCGATTTCGGCGGATATCTTCCGGGTCAATTTTTGGCATATCCCAAAGGGGTACCATCACCGATTTCGGGCGATTTTTCCGAAATGCAATTTTCTTTCGATTTTTGAGGCTATAGATGACGGATTCAAACCGAGGCTATTCTCCACATATATTGAAGTCTATTGATCCTATTCTCCGCCAATGATTAAGCTCATTGTCCATCGATTTGGGCGAATTTATTTTGGGATGGCATTTTCGTAATATTTTAGATGATTTTTTTCGAAAGACCATTTACCATGGATTTTGGAGGCCACGGATTTGGTCTGAGGCTATTCTTCAACGATGATTAAATCCATTAACCACCGATTCGGGCGGATATCTTCCGGGTCAATTTTTGGCATATCCCAAAGGGCTACCATCACCGATTTCGGGCTATTTTTCCAAAATGCCATTTTCTTTTGATTTTTAAGGCTAATGATCACGGATTCAACCCGAGGCTATTCTCCACATATAATGAAGTTTATTGATCCTATTCTCCGCCAATGATTAAGCCCATTATCCATCGATTTGGGCGCATTTATTTTGCAATGGCATTTTCGTAATATTTTAGACGATCATTTTCGAAAGGCCATTTACCATGGATTTTGAAGGCTACAGATCACGGATTCGGTCTGAGGCTATTCTTCAATGATGATGAAGTCAATTAAGCACCGATTCGGTCGAATATCTTCCGTGTCAATTTTTGGCAGATCCCAAAGGGCTACCATCACCGATTTCGGGCGATTTTTCTGAAATGCCATTTTCTTTTGATTTTTAAGGCTACTGATCACGGATTCAACCCGAGGCTATTCTCCACATATAATGAAGTTTTTTTATCCTATTCTCCGCCAATGATTAAGCCCATTATCCATCGATTTGGGCGCATTTATTTTGGGATGGCATTTTCGTAATATTTTAGACGATTCTTTTCGAAAGGCCATTTACCATGGATTTGGAAGGCTACAGATCACGGATTCGGCCTGAGGCTATTCTTCAACGATGATTAAGTCCATTAAGCACCGATTCAACTGGATATTTTTCGGGTCAATTTTTGGCTGATCCCAAAGGGGTACCATCACCGATTTCGGGCGATTTTTCCGAAATGACATTTTCTTTCGATTTTGGAGGCTACAGATCACGGATTCAACCCGAGGCTATACTCCACATATAATGAAGTCTATTGATCCTATTCTCCGCCAATGATTAAGCACATTAAGCATCGATTTGGGCAAATTTATTTTGGGATGGCATTTGCGTAATATTTTAGACGATTTTTTTCAAGAGGACATTTACCATGGATTTTGAAGGCTACAGATCACGGATTCGATCTGAGGCTATTGTTCAAAGATGATTAAGTCCATTAAGCACCGATTCGGGCGGATATCTTCCGGGTCAATTTTTGGCATATCCCAAAGGGGGTACCATCACCGATTTCGGGCGATTTTTCCGGAATGCCATTTTCTGTCGATTTGGGAGGCTAAAGATCACGAATTCAACCCGAGGCTATTCTCCACATATAATGAAGTCTATTGATCCTATTCTCCGCCAATGATTAAGCCCATTAAGCATAGATTTGGGCGAATTTATTTTGGGATGGCATTTTCGTAATATTTTCGACGATTTTTTCGAATGGCCATTTACCATGAATTTTGAACGCTACAGATCACGGATTCGGTCTGATGGTATTCTTCAACGATGATTAATTCCATTAAGCACCGATTCGGGCTTATATCTTCCGGGTCAATTTTTGGCACATCCCAAAGGGGTACCATCACCGAATTCGGGCTATTTTTCCGAAATGCCATTTTCTTTCAATTTTTGAGGCTACAGCTCACGCTTTCAACCCGAGGCTATTCTCCAAATATAATGAAGTCTATCGATCCAATTCTCCTCCAATAATTAAGCCCATTAAGCATCGATTTGGGCGAATTTATTTTGGGATGGCATTTTGGTAATATTTTAGGCGATTCTTTTCGAAAGGCCATTTACCATGGATTTTGAAGGCTACGGATCACGGATTCGGTATGAGGCTATTCTTCAACGATGATTAAGTCCATTAAGCACCTATTCAAGCGGATATTTTCCGGGTCAATTTTTGGTTGATCCCAAAGGGGTACCATCACCGATTTCGTGCGATTTTTCCGAAATGACATTTTCTTTCGATTTTGGAGGCTACAGATCACGGATTCAACCCGAGGCTATACTCCACATATAATGAAGTCTATTGATCCTATTCTCCGCCAATGATTAAGCACATTAAGCATCGATTTGGGCAAATTTATTTTGGGATGGCATTTGCGTAATATTTTAGACGATTTTTTCAAAAGGACATTTACCATGGATTTTGAAGGCTACAGATCACGGATTCAGTCTGAGGCTATTTTTCAACGATGGTTAAGTCATATAAGCACCGATTCGGGCGAATATCTTTCGGGGCGATTTTTGGCAGATCCCAAAGGGGTACCATCACCGATTTCGGGCGATTTTTCCGAAATGACATTTTCTTTCAATTTGGGAGGCTACATATCACGGATTCAACCCGAGGCTATCCTCCACATATAATGAAGTCTATTGATCCAATTCTCCGCCAATGATTGAGCCCATTAAGCATCGATTTGAGCAAATTTATTTTGGGATGGCATTTTCGTAATGTTTTAGACGATTTTTTTCGAAAGGCCATTTACCATGGATTTTGAAGGCTACAGATCACAGATTTAGTCTGAGGGTATTCTTCAACGATGATTAAGTCCATTAAGCACCGATTCGGCCGGATATCTGCCTGGCAATGCAGTCAAAATCGCGTTTTAAAACTTAAAAACTTACGATTTTACGCTTTTAGGTCACCAAAACGCTTTCGTTTCCATATAAAAACTTAAGTGTATAAAATCGGACTAAATTGCGCTTTAAAGCTTAAAAGCTTACGCTTTTACGCTTCTAGTTCACCAAAACGCTTTACGTTTTTACGCTTTTAGTTCACTAAATGAGTATTCTTTTCATGAAATTAATTATAAAAAGTATATTTTAAAAGTAAATCACCAAGAATATGATACATTTGAGATTAAAAGATACATACCATGTACTTGAATGCCTTCTCAGCTTCAATAGAGTAATCTAATTCACCAGCTAGGCTCTTCCCGAATTCATTAGCATAGATGAAAAAGTGGCTTATTGTTAAAATTAATGTTTACGAACTTATTATTAAGATGCTACAAGTTGCTCTACCTTAGGCATGAATTGTGTGTATTTATTAACTTATCTAAATTCCGTGCATTCATATTTTACATAGTATATGTCCTAGCTTTTTAGTTATTTTTCAGTATGCTTCAAAAACTTACGCTTTTACGCTTTGATTCTACGCTTTACGATTTTACCCCTTTTCCGCTTCTAGGTAGAATCGCGCTTTTGACTGCATTGCTGCCTGGTCAATTTTTGGCAGATCCCAAAGGGGTACCATCACCAATTTCGGGCGATTTTTCCGAAATGCTATTTTCTTTCGATTTTGGAGGCTACATATCACGGATTCAACCCGAGGCTATTCTCCACATATAATGCGGTCTATTGATCCTATTCTCCTCCAATGATTAAGCCCATTAAGCATCGATTTGGGCGAAATTATTTTGGGATGACATTATCGTAATATTTTATACGATTTTTTCGAAAGGCCATTTACCATGGATTTTGAAGGCTACAGATCACGGACTCGGTCTGAGGCTATTCTTCAACGATGATTAAGTCCATTAAGCACCGATTTGGGCGGATATCTTCCGGGTCAATTTTTGGCAGATCCCAAAGGGGTACTATCACCGAATTTGGGCTATTTTTCCAAAATGCCATTTTCTTTCGATTTTTGAGGCTACAGCTCACGGATTCAACCCGAGGCTATTCTCCAAATATAATGAAGTCTATTTATCCTATTCTCCTCCAATGATTAAGCCCATTAAGCATCGATTTGGGCGAATTTATTTTGGGATGGCATTTTCGTAATATTTTAGACGATACTTTTTGAAAGGCCATTTACCATAGATTTTGAAGGCTACAGATCGCGGATTCGATCTGAGGCTATTCTTCAAAGATGATTAAGTCCATTAAGCACCGATTCGGGCGGATATCTTCCAGGTCAATTTTTGGCATATCCCAAAGGGGTACCATCACCGATTTCGAGCGATATTTCCAAAATGCCATTTTCTTTCGATTTTTGAGGCTACAAATGACGGATTCAAACCGAGGCTATTCTCCACATATAATGAAGTCTATTGATCCTATTCTCCTTCAATGATTAAGCCCATCAGGCATCGATTTGGGCAAATTTATTTTGGGATGGCATTTTCGTAATATTTTAGACGATTCTTTTCGAAAGGCCATTTACCATGGATTTTGAAGGCTACAGATCACGGATTCGATCTGAGGCTATTGTTCAAAGATGATTAAGTCCATTAAGCACCGATTCGGGCGGATATCTTCCGGGTCAATTTTTGGCATATCCCAAAGGGGGTACCATCACCGATTTCGAGCGATTTTTCGGGAATGCCATTTTCTGTCGATTTGGGAGGCTAAAGATCACGAATTCAACCCGAGGCTATTCTCCACATATAATGAAGTCTATTGATCCTATTCTCCGCCAATGATTAAGCCCATTAAGCATAGATTTGGGCGAATTTATTTTGGGATGGCATTTTCGTAATATTTTCGACGATTTTTTCGAATGGCCATTTACCATGAATTTTGAACGCTACAGATCACGGATTCGGTCTGATGGTATTCTTCAACGATGATTGTTCCATTAAGCACCGATTCAGGCTTATATCTTCCGGGTCAATTTTTGGCACATCCCAAAGGGGTACCATCACCGAATTCGGGCTATTTTTCCGAAATGCCATTTTCTTTCAATTTTTGAGGCTACAGCTCACGGTTTCAACCCGAGGCTATTCTCCAAATATAATGAAGTCTATTGATCCAATTCTCCTCCAATAATTAAGCCCATTAAGCATCGATTTGGGCGAATTTATTTTGGGATGGCATTTTGGTAATATTTTAGGCGATTCTTTTCGAAAGGCCATTTACCATGGATTTTGAAGGCTACGGATCACGGATTCGGTATGAGGCTATTCTTCAACGATGATTAAGTCCATTAAGCACCTATTCAAGCGGATATTTTCCGGGTCAATTTTTGGCTGATCCCAAAGGGGTACCATCACCGATTTCGTGCGATTTTTCCGAAATGACATTTTCTTTCGATTTTGGAGGCTACAGATCACGGATTCAACCCGAGGCTATCCTCCACATATAATGAAGTCTATTGATCCTATTCTCCGCCAATGATTAAGCACATTAAGCATCGATTTGGGCAAATTTATTTTGGGATGGCATTTGCGTAATATTTTAGACGATTTTTTTCGAAAGGACATTTACCATGGATTTTGAAGGCTACAGATCACGGATTCAGTCTGAGGCTATTCTTCAACGATGGTTAAGTCAAATAAGCACCGATTCGGGCGAATATCTTCCGGGTCAATTTTTGGCAGATCCCAAAGGGGTACCATCACCGATTTCGGGCGATTTGTCCGAAATGCTATTTTCTTTCGCTTTTGGAGGCTACAGATCACGGATTCAACCCGAGGCTATTCTCCACATATAATGCGGTCTATTGATCCTATTCTCCTCCAATGATTAAGCCCATTAAGCATCGATTTGGGCGAATTTATTTTGGGATGGCATTTTCGTAATATTTTAGACAAGTTTTTTCGAAAGGCCATTTACACTGGATTTTAAAGGCTACAGATCACGGATTCGGTCTTAGGATATTCTTCAACGATGATTAAGTCCATTAAGCATCAATTCGGGTGGATATCTACCGGGTCAATTTTTGCCAGATCCCAAAGGGGTACCATCACCGATTTCCGGCGATTTTTCCAAAATGCCATTTTCTTTCGATTTTTGAGGCTACAGATCACGGATTCGACCCGAGGCTATTCTTCAAATATAATGAAGTCTATTGATCATATTCTCCGTCAATGATTAGGCCCATTAAGCATCGATTTGGGCGGAATTTATTTTGGGATGGCATTTTCGTAATATTTTAGACGATTTTTTTCGAAACACCATTTACACTTGATTTTGAAGGCTAAAGATCACGGATTAGGTCTGAGTCTATTCTTCAACGATGAATAAGTCCATAAAGCACCGATTCGGGCGGATATCTTCCGGGTCAATTTTTGGCAGATCCCAAAGGGGGTACCATCACCGATTTCCTGTGATTTTTCCGAAATGCCATTTTCTTTTGATTTTGGAGGCTACATATCACGGATTCGACCCGAGGCTATTCTCCACATATAATGAAGTCTATTGATCCTATTCTCCGTCAATGCTTAAGCCCATTAAGCATCAATTTGGGCGAATTTATTTTGGGATGGCATTTTCGTAATATTTTAGACGATTTTTTTCGAAAGGCCATTTACACTGGATTTTGAGGGCTACAGATCACGGATTCGGTCTGAGGATATTCTTCAACGATGATTAAGTCCATTAAGCACCTATTCCGGCGGATATCTTCCGGGTCAATTTTTGGCAGATCCCAAAGACGTACCATCACCGATTTCCGGCGATTTTCCGAAATGTCATTTTCTTTCGATTTTGGAGGCTACAGATCACGGATTCGACCCGAGGCTATTCTCCACATATATTGAAGTCTATTGATCATATTCTCCGTCAATGCTTAAGCCCATTAAGCATCGATTTGGGCGAATTTATTTTGGGATGGCATTTTCGTAATATTTTAGACGATTATTTTCGAAAGGCCATTTACACTGGATTTTGAAGGCTACAGATCACGGATTCGGTCTGAGGATATTCTTCAAAGATGATTAAGTCCATTAAGCACCGATTCGGGCGGATATCTTCCGGGTCAATTGTTGGCATATCCAAAAGGGGTACCATCACCTATTTCGGGGATTTTTCCGAAATGCCATTTTCTTTCCATTTTTTAGGCTACAGGTTCGAAAAAACCGCCCAAAATAGGTGATCGTACCCCTTTCAAAACTGCCCAAAATGGACCCGGAAGCAATCTGAGCAAATGGGTGCTTAATGGGCTTAACCATCGTTGAAGAATTCCCTCAGACCGAATTCGTGATCTGTATTCCTTCCAAATCCTAGGAAAATGGTCTTTCGAAAAAAATCGCCCGAAAAATTTTCAAGATGTCATCCCAAAATGAATTAGACCAAATCGGTCTTTACTGGACTTAATCATCGGTGGAGAATAGGATCAATAGACTTCATTACCGATGGAGAACAGCTTGGGGCTGAATTCGTAATCTGTAGCCTCCAAAATCGAAGGAAATGAGCATTTCGAAAAAACCGCCCGAAATTGGTGATGGTACCCCTTTCGAATATGCAAAAAATGGACCTCGAAGAAATCCACTCAAATTGGTTCTTAATGGACTTAATCATCGTTGAAGAATAGCCTCAGGCTGAATTTGTGATCTTTAGCCTTCAAAATCCAAGAAAAATGGTCTTTCGAAAAAAATTGCACAAAAATTACGAAAATGCCATCCCAAAATAATCTGGCCCAATTCGGTGCTTAATGGACTTAATAATCGGTGGAGAATAGGATCAATAGACTTCATTATCGGTAGAGAATAGCCTCAGGCTGAATTCGTGATCTGTAGACTACAATATCGAAAGAAAATGGCATTTCGGAAAATCGCCTAAAATCGATGATGGTAGGCCTTTCGAATCTGGCAAAAATGGACCAGGAAAAAGTCCGGTCAACTCTGTGCCTAATGGACTTAATCATCGTTGAATAATAGCCTTCTGACGCAACCGTGATCTGTAGCCTTCAAAATCAATGGAAAATGGCTTTTCGAAAAAAATCGCCGAAAAAATTAAAAAATGCAATCCCAAAATAAATTGTCCCAATTCGGTGTTTATCGGAATTATTCATCGGTGAAGAATAGGATCATTAGACTTCATTAACGGTGGAGAATAGCCTCGAACTGAATCCGTAATATGTACCCTCAAATATTGAAAGAAAATGGCATTTCAGAAAAATTACCTAAAATCGGTGATGGTACCCCTTTCGAATCTGAAAAAAATGGACATGGAAGGAATCCACTCAAATTGGTGCTTAATGGACTTAATCATCGTTGAAGAATAGCCTCAAGCCAAAGTTGTGATATGTAGCCTTCAAAATGCAAGGAAAATCGTCTTCCGAAAAAATTGCCCAAAAATTACGAAAATGTCATCCAAAAATAATCTGGCGCAATTCGGTGCTTAATGGACTTAATAATCGGTGGAGAATAGGATCAATAGACTTCATTATCGTTGGAGAATAGCCTCGGTTGAATCCGCGATCTATAGCCTCCAAAATCGAAAGAAATTGTCATTTCGAAAAAATCACCCGAAATTGATGATGGTACCCCTTTCGAATCTGCCAAAAATGGAACCGGAAGAAATATGCTCAAATCGGTGCTTAATGGACTTAATCATCGTTGAAGAATAGCCTCAGGACGAATTTGTTATCTATAGCCTTCAAAATGCAAGGAAAATGGCCTTTTGAATAAAAAGCAACCAAATAATTACGAAAATACATCACAAAATAAATTGGTCCAATTCGATGCTTAAGTGACTTAATTCTCGGTGGAGAATAGCATCGGGCTGAATCCGTGCTCTGCAGCCCAAAATCGATAGAAAATGGCATTTTGAAAAAATCGCCCAGAATCGGTGATGGTACCCCTTTCGAATCTGCCAAAAATGGACCCGAAAGAAATATGCCCAAATCGGGGCTTAATGGACTTAACCATCGTTGAAGAATAGCCTCAGGCCGAATCCGTGATATGTAGCCATCAAAATTTAAGGAAAATGGTCTTTTGAAAAAAATCGCACAAAATATTACGAAACTGCCATACCAAAATAAATTGACCCAATTCGGTGCTTAATGGACTTAATCATCGGTGAAGAATAGGATCAATAGACTTCATTATCGGTGGAGAATAGCGTCGGGCTGAATCCTTAATCTATAGCCTCCAAAATCGAAAGAAATTGGTGTTTCTGAAAAATCGCCTGAAATTGGTGATGGTACCCCTTTTCAATCTGCCAAAAATAAACCCGGAAGAACTATGCCCAAATTGATGCTTAATGGACTTAACCATCGTTGAAGAATAGCCTCAAGCCGAATCTGTGATCTGTAGCCTACAAAATCCAAGGAAAATAGCCTTTCGAATTAAAATCATCCAAAAATTTAGGAAAATGCCATCCCAAATAAATTGGCCCAATTCCGTGCTTCATGGACTTAATCCTAGGTGGAGAATATGATCAATAGACTTCACTATCGGTGGAGAATAGCCTCGGGCCGAATCCGTGATTTGTTGCCTCCAAAATCGAAAGAAAATGGTATTTTGGAAAAATCGTCTGAAACCTGTGATGGTACCCCTTTGGAATCTGCCAAAAATAGACCCAGAAGAAATCCTCCTAAATCGGTGTTTAATGGACTTAATCATCGTTGAAGAATAGCCTCAAGCCGAATCAGTGATCTGTAGCCTTCAAAATCCAAGGAAAATGGTCTTTCGAAAAAAATCGCCCAAAAAATTACGGAAATGTCATCACAAAATAAATTGGTCCAATTCGATGCGTAAAGGACTTAATCGTCGGTGGAGAACACGATCAATAGGATTCAATCATGTTGCTACATTGTATGTCAGTTGGAGCAGCTCTTTGGCCGAGTTTTGTGTTTTGTTTTATAGGGACGAGTAGACTCAGGTCGAATCCGTAATGTGTAGCTTTTAAAATTAAGGAAACTGACCTGTCAAAAAAATCGTAAGAAATCTGTGATGGTATCCCTTTTGATTCTACAAAAAATAACCTCGAAAAAAATACGCTTAATAAACTTAAGAGTTAATAGCATTTCGTATCCATCTACTATGGCAAGTTAACAAACATACCTCTCTACTATTATTATTTATTTCGCACGACCATAACTCTCGATTATCAAAATGTAACTAACGCAGCCTTCCATTTCATCCGAAATTTCATTAGTTCGCCATTAAATAGGTATAAAATGACCAAATTATCCCTTAATAAATAATTATTTACGAATTCGACATGAGGCAATTCGTCCCTGTAAAACAAATCACAAAACTCGGCCACAGAGCTGCTCCAACTGACAGACAGTGTAGCAACATGATTGAATGAATGCGCTTCTCATCAATAAACAGGAGCTGAAGAGAGAGGAAACCATATACAAAATGGAACACTTCAAGCCAGAGTTTGTTTACAGCCAAAAATCGAGTCATTGATAACTTCAAAAATAAAAAGCACTAGGTTCTCAATAAAAGTAAAATAACAAATACTAGCCATGATCTTACAACAATGAACATAGTCAGTCAGGTGAGACTATCTACCTCCCCTGCCTCCAAACCGACCACCTCTGCGATGAAAAGGTTTCCTTCCGCGACCAGAACCCACATTGAAATTCTGACGGGGCTGGCTCCCGAAACTATTTCCCGATTGCTGAGGAGACTGACCAGTGCTGCCAGTGATGTTGGTTGATGATTGCACGCTGCTATTAACAGCCATCGTTGCTTGGTCTCGCATGTTCATGGTTGGGTTGGTTGGTTGAGGCAGAAAGCCCATTCCACCAACGTTGAAATTCTGAGGTGGCTGGCTGCTGAGACTATTTCCAGGTCTCTGGGGAGGAGGAGACTGACTGGTGTTACCATAATTGTTTGACGATGATTGCACGCTGCCATTAACATCCCTCATTCCTTGGTCTCCCATGTTCATGGCTGGGTTGGTTGGTTGAGGTGGAAAGCCTATCCCAAATGGAGATTGGTTGAAGCAACCTTGGTTCATAACTCCTGCTCCAGGTGCTGCTGCTGCTGGCCAATGCATGAAACCAGGGCCAGCGAAGAAATTGGGTGGCTGCCCTGATGGCATTACATTTGCAGGAAGGGACCCCTGGCCAGGGTTGAACTGCTGCGGAAATGGCATAATGTGCTGCATCACCATCTGCAGTGCATTCTGAATGTTACCAGGAAGAGGAGGGAAACCACCAAAATTTGGCGCTGCTGGATTCTGTTGATGTTGAGGAAATACCCCATTCGGCCAACTCCCAGGGAAATGGCCAGGGTTCTGCTGCTGCAACATTGGCGGGAAGGGTGGAACAAAAGCATTTCCATTATTACTCGGTGGAGCTGGAGCTGGAGCTGGAGGCAGATTATACTTATTTCCATTGTGTGGATTCTGATTAGTGTCCATTCGAGGTTGCCGCCATGGAGGTTTGTTGTTGTTACTATTACTGTTGCTGTTATTGGTGGTATTGTTGTTCCAATCCCTTTCTTGCCTATCTTCAACCTTCTTTTTATTCCTTTTCTTATTGTTGACAACTTCCTGGCCATTATTCATACCCCTCTTCGCCATTTTTTGCATCCTCCTGTACTCTGCCTCTTTCTCATCATCTGAAAACTCGGCCGGATCGGACAGTTCCTCATCATTCTCACCAGATGCATCATATCCTTTCTTGTACAGGCTTTGGTCACTCAGGACAAAGTCAGCAAACTCAGGAACAAAGGAGACTAGAGCACCTTCGCAAATGCCCTCGGGAACCTCACTGTCAGAATTGAATCTCACTATATAAAATGGGTTCTTCACAGGTCCAAATATTTCATCTATCAGCCCGAGTGGAGATCGTTTCTCAGTTAACCAAAGGATAGAACCCTCATTCAGAGGGTTGTGCTTCTCAGCCCCTTCTACAATGACTTGTGTACCAAGAACCTGATATGCCAAAAACCGATCATCTTCCTTAAAACCCAATTGTCCTCAAAACCAGAAAACCTCAAGGTAACAGTATATGCAGTTAAAAGAATAGGTAAGCCCAACAAGTTCTTACAGATGAGATAAGTCCAACAGGTTGTGGCTGATGATGGGGTAGCAGCACAGCATTGACAGGAGGAACATGTGGTAGGACCTGAAAATGTGAGAGGAAATGTTAAGTGCAATCACATTATCGATTAAAATTTCATTACTAGAGATTTCGAATAGAAGAGGAACAATACTAATGAAGAAAAAGCCTCAAACTTACAACAGTATCCTCCTATCATTTCATGAAAGAAGAATTGTCAAGTTAGAGAGTATGTCCCTAAACCGATTCCGCAAGTTTCAAAAACATGGTCAACCTTTCATTCAATATCAACTGAAAAACAAAACTATTTCATGCGTATAATACATCCAGCAAGCAAGAAAAAAGACAAAACTTTTAGTTTACCAAGACTCTAGTTCTCTTGTGATGTAAAGACTTCACCATTTCAGGAAACAAAAAATTGTAAAGAGGCAATTCACATCACACAAGCATTTCACCTGCAGTTCGTTCTTTGATCTAATAGGGCCCTTCTCAACACCAACATCGGCATCATCTTCATCATCAACATCACTCCATTCCACCATTTTTTCAACCTCAACCTCAGTCTCGATCTCGTCATCTTCATCATCTTTATCTTCACCTCCACCTACCACATTATCTCCATAACCATCTCTTATTTCACCCTCTTCCATCTCACCCTCTGCAATCTCAACTTCAGTCACTTGCTTTACCACCTCCAACTTAAGGTCCCTTCTCAGAATCGAACTATCCTTTTTCTCCTCCACTTCCTCGTCATCACTGCTGCTAGAGTCGGATGATGATGATGATGAGCTAGAATCTGACGAGCTACTTTCGCCGTCAGAATCCGAATCACCTTCAACGCCATTCGTAAAACTGACCACACCACCCCCAGTATCAACGGCAGAGCTCGGGCAGCTGATCAAGCTGCCAACATTAGGAGCCTCCACGCCATCACCGGTTGGCTCGATCTTCACCGCTACAGAGCTAAGAAATTCCTTCTCCGCATGTGCCTCCCTTATCTCTGCTTCACACTTCACATCAACAACCCCATCGTCATCGCCATTGCCAACCAAACTTACTCTTCCTATTTCCGCCTCTATAGAGCGGCGAAGACTATCCCCACTCTGCAACTCCAAAGGTTCCTTCTTTACCTGCCCCCTGTAATCCGAGCCTGCTTCAATCAGGTGAGTATCAACAGAAACTGAATGAGACCCATCCACCATTCGCTCACCAACAGTAGGAACTTCACAATCCATCCCCAACATATGCTCAAACTCCCGAATATCCACCTTGTCTAAGCTAGTGGCATCCAGCAGCAAGTTATCCTCAAACAGCTCCTTGATGGAGTCGAAATCGAGGAATGAATCGGCCAAAGACAAATCAACGAGCTTGGGGTCGCCGAGGGACTCCTTTTCGCTGGTATGGGGAGGAGGGGAAGCTGGATTGTTGGGGTCCTCTTCAATGGTGGGTCTGGAAAAGAAGTCCACCATCGCAAGAGAAAACAACAAGGGAACAGAAGTTGGGGAGGGAAGGCGAGCAGGGGAATTTCATAGCTTTGATGGAAAGAGGAAAATATAGAGGCGGATTTATATGAGTGTGGTTGTAGGTTTTCAAGTGGCGTATTTGAAGGGGTTTTTCTCTGTTCTTCTTCAGCGGCGGGGCTAGGCCACTAGGGTTTAGCGGGGGCATAAACCGGATGAAACGAGAACCGGAAAGAACAAACTCAACAAAGTTTAATTAGGGCTGCAAATGAGTCGAGCTGAGCCGAGTTTTACCCCAGCTTGAGCTTGACTCATTAACAAATGAGCTGAGCTCGAGCTCGAGCCATTTATTAACGAGCCGAGTCGAGTCGAGTTCGAGTTAGGCTTGTTTACTTAATTCTCAGTTCGTATTTGATACATTCATTTTGTAAGTCGTGTACTGTATGGTACATGTGATTGATATAATGATAAAAATAATAATAATCAAATGTTCAACATTAATTAATCTTATATAATAATTTGAAGGTGTTATATTGTTTAGTTAATAAATTTTAACTAGTCCAAATCATGTTATTTCATAGTATCGAAACAATTTTGTACATATTTCATTATAGAATTAAAAATAAGACATATTTTCTTTCATGTTAAACTTCACATGAGGTGAGATGTATAATTTAACAATCTTATGAATTATGAAAGTCCAAATTAGATCGATTCGTCCATAAGTCAGTGATCAAGTTGACCCTCAAACCACAATGTTGAGACATCTCATGAGCTCTAAATGAGCCAACTCACGAGTTGAGCTCAACAAGCCACCGAGTCGAGCTAGCTCGCGAGCTTCACGAGCTGAACAAAGCTAAGCTCAAGCTTGGCTCGTTAGTAAACGAGTCGAGTTTCGAACGAGTTTTTCCCGATCCGAGCCTCGAGTTGCTCGCGAGTAGCTTGGCTCATTTGCAGCCCTAAGTTTAATGGCAAAAAGAGGTTAGTCAATTAAGTTTCCAAACCTTGGACCACCGAGGTGACAAGGGCCTGCTGCTTTTAGTGGGCCAACTAAGTTTGTATTGAAGGCCCATCAAGGCTCATCGTTTTATTATCCAAACGGCAAACAGAACAGCTAAACTGATGAGCATAAGGATGACATTGATGAAGGCGGTTGACGGTGGGAGTCGGTGACGTTTATCGGCGGGCAGTGGTAATGAGTGGCCGACGGCAGGGTGCGGACAATGACGGCAATGATGATGGAGCTATGGCCTGTGGGTCAAGTTTTTTTTTATGGTTCTGTTTATTGAAATAACTATCTAGAAATAAAGATGAGAGAATGATAAATAGATAATTTAAACGTTTAAATTAGGACGGTGTTTAGCAAGTCCCAATCGAAAATGCTGATTGCAGCTATCAAATGAGCAAGGTTGTCAAACCATTTTATATCATTGCTTCGGTTTAGCAAGTGTTATGGTTCAATCGGCGGTACGTACAACCAGCTTTTGTTTCTTCATGTTGAATTAATAAAACATGAAATATATGAAAAACCATCTTACAGTTGGTATTCATGTAAGTTTCATGACCCAAATCGGTTGAACACGCATTCCACGGGCATGATACAAACTTATTATGAGTGGCACGGTGTTTGGTTAGGAAAAACTTCGTTGGACATTCAGCTCGTTTACTACTAAAGCGAGCTTGAGTTAAGTCTTTTTCGGCTCGCAAAGCTCGTGAGCCAACTCAAATTAGTGACTTGTTGAGCTCAACTCATGAGCTAGCTCGTTTTGAGCGATGATTTGGCTCGATAATATGGCTACCGGGCTACGTCGACTAGTAACTCATGAGTAAATTGATTTATAATTTATGAATTGGCTTGTTGATAATTCAATGTTTGTTAGATAATGCATCCCATTACCTATGATGTTTAAAACTTTGTGTACATGAGCAAATATGTTTCATTTATAATTTAAAATTTAAAATGAAATTATGTTTGATGATATGGTAGATTGTTTAGGTACTAATTACTATTGGCAAAATACACATGTATAGCCATAAGTTTGCGCTTTGTGACAACAATAGCCAAATTTTGAAAAATACACAGATATAGCCAGAATTTTGAAACTAGTTTGACAAATTTAGCCATTTTCGTTAGAAAGTTTGACGCCGTCAGTAATTCTGTGAGTAACGTGGACATTACGCTGATGTGTACGCCACCTCAGCACCCACATCATGTCTCAGTCACCATAGCATGCCATGTGTACTGCCATGTCAGATTAAAAAAATATTATTTTTAAAAATTATTTATAAAAAGAAAAATTATTACTTTGTGCCCTTAATTATGAAACACAAAGTAGCCACTGGAGTTAGAGGATTCTGTTTCGAATTTTTCGAGGAAGTCTGCGATGGAGATAGCGGGGATTAGGTTTTTCGTTTCTCGATCTGGGTTTTCAGCTTCTTACTTCTCTGTCGCTTCGCCTCCCTCCCTTCCCCACCATGTACAGAGATAGCACAACGTATCCTTCGAAGCTTTTCTACAGTTGAGAATCCAGATGCAACACCACCAGCAAAAACCCACCTCGGTCGTCACCTTCTCCCCGATCTCACCTAGCTTCAATTTGTACTCTAACTCCGACGACGAAACCCTTGTCGAGCTACAGTAGTGCGATTCTCCAGCTACGACGACAGGGCATCTTCTACAGTCGTCCACAGTGCTTCAATTACGGCAACGATTGGGATTCTCAAGTCTCAAGATCTGGATTTTTGAAGGAGTAAGTCCGCTGGAGATAGTGCGGCTTGGATTTCGTTTTCGCGAAGATAGCTTGCTTAGAAATCGAACTGAGCTTCTAGATCTGCTCTCAAGGAAAAGAAAGGCGGAGCCGAGTCGACAACCACCGCCGCCGACCAACTTTCCTAGCGCGAGCTTCCTTCTCCTCTCTGGCTTTCGCCTTTTCTCCCACCAGTTTTCTCCTTACCTCACACACAAATACCTTTATTTGGTTTAATGGCAGATCGATGCCGAGAGAAACGGGAATGCGATTGGTGTTCTTTTTTTTGTTGGTAGGAATCGATTTGGCATTCTTTACTTGTCTGGGTAAGGGGAAGTGGGGAATTGGGTTGAACTTCAACATCGAAGAAAGAGGAAGAGGAAGACGGAGAAGGGTAAAAAGGTTTTAGCAATTTTCTATCAATTAAAAAAATGATAATTTCAATCTGACATATCTTTTCATGAAAAATTGCCACGTCAGTAAAAATCGTTAGTCCAGTCAGCATTAATTACTGTTCCGTTAAAGTTATTGACGAAATGGCTATATCTGTGTATTTTTCAAAATCTGGCTATTATTGTCACAAAGTGCAAATTTATGGCTATCCAGGTGTATTTTGCCATTACTATTAAATAACATGATATGACCAATTGAAATGTATGAACTAAATAATATGATACCCGAACTAGAACCAAACTTACGAGCTTATTGATGACTCGAACTCAATTAGAACTCGCGAACTCGTTAATGCGTCAACTCGAAGTGAGCTCAAGTCAAATACGAGCCAATATTTTAAATAAACAAATCGAATAACTCGACTAGTTTATTAACAAGTTAATCTCAAAATAACCCAAATTCAACTTGACTCATTGAGCTGGTGGAATTGAAAAGGAACAAAATGTTCCACTTCTCCCCATCCATCGCTAACCACAAAACCGATTCATCCATTATTGTCCATACTTGCTTGTTCAACTCAGTTTTGAGAAAAAGTTAATTAGTATGTGTTACTCCAAATAAGATTTTATATCACTAACGAATGTGAGCAAGAGGCCGATTGTTGTTTGTAGCTACTTGCAGAGTAGCATCCAAGGCCGATCAATCTGCTACAATAATCCACCTCCTAATTAACACGCCACCGTCTGCCGGTCGGCAATGGATCCACTGGCCACTATAAATTCCAAGCTCCATTTCCCCCCCAAAATCCCAACTCACCCTCCGCCATTATTTCCCAACAAAGAACCCAAACAAAAAAAATTCGATACGATGAATCCCGCCGCCTTCCTAACCTTCCTCCTCATGATCACACTCAGCCCCGTCCTCACCGCCGCTGGGCGCCCGCCGCTCCGCGATACCCACGGCAACCTCGTCGAGTCCGGAAGACAATACCTCATCGTCCCGGCGACCTACTACGGCGGCGGCGGCGGGGGGCTGACCTTAGCCGCCGGCGCCCCCACCAACAACAACCACACCCATGCCTCCTGCCACGTCAGCATAATCCAAGCCAACAACCCGACTTCCCACGGCCTCCCCGTCACATTCACCCCCCGCGACAACAAGCAGTACCGCCCCGTGACCATCTTCGGCGCCATGGATCTGAACATCCAGTTCGCGGCTTCCTCGGCCTGCGCGAGATCCACGGTGTGGAAGGTGAGCGGGTCCCATCAACGGTTTGTGTCGGTCGGCGGCGAGAAGGAGATTGACCATCACCGATCCTCGGCGTCGAATTGGTTCAAGATCTTTAGGGTGAAGCAGCAGCACAACAATCATGGTGGAAAGGCCCCGCCGGTTTTGTTCAAGATCGTCGCCTGCTCGTCGGCATGCAAGGACTGCCACGTGTCGTGCAAGGACGTCGGGGTCGTTGTCGACGCGAAGACTGGGGCCCGCAGGCTTGCTCTTGCTAATCATGGGCCTCTGCTGGTCCAGTTCAAGAAGGTCTGAGGGGCAGCGCTACTGTTGTTTGTTTCTTTATTTGTGGCATTAGCGTTTGGGGGATAAGAGATATCAGGCGGCTATGTGCTTTTTTCATTTGTGTTTGTTTTCCTTTTGGGCGGGTGCCGGCCGGGTGGTGTAACAAATCTGTTTTCTAGCGCGAGCATTCCAGCTCTACGTGTTATTATTATCTGATAGTATTTTCGACTTCTTTCTAGCGTGCGCATTCCAGTTCTAGTGGTGTTGATCATATGAAGATCTAATCACGTCAAAGCCCGGAGAGAAGGCTTGTCACGGCAACATAGTACGAATTTCAAATCATAAAACATATTACATGATAGTACTCTCGGCAATTTTTCTAGCATTGAGCTTTGTTCGAGCTCTAGTAGTACTTACTGCCAAACACATGAAGATCTATTACCTACACAGTACTCATGAGTGACACAATCAAAGATTAAGCCTAGATCAATTAGCCTAATTTCACACTGTGGTTCATCAAACCAACGAGTTAAATCCTTTTGAATTGAGCATCTAACACTAATATAAACTGTCTTTGATCCATAAAGCGCAATAAAAAATTAAGCAGTCCTTTCAAAGGAATAATGCATGTTGTTGGTAACTAACATGTAGAATTTCTCGTTGATTTATTTCTTATGCATTAAGAGTAATAATATTCTCTCATCGACCTTAAACTAGTAGTAGTGTGAGCATTTGTCATGAAAAAGTACTCATCAGAATATTTGACACCTTGTCAAAATCGAGAAGTGAAAAAGAAAACTTGTTACCCTTCTTACTATGGAGAATACAAAGAATACATATGTAAGCATTATACATGAGAACAATATCTCTAGCTAGGGCTACATCAATTGTACCATAAAAATTTGTTCAAAAAATATATGTATAAACTGAATTTGTATAACCACAACAACAAAGATACAATTTTAGTTTGTATCACAAAGAAATTTATACAAAAGTTTATTGATACAAATCAAATTTATACAATAGCATTAAAGATACAAATTCAATGTACTATAATTTTTTTTAGAAACACCAAATGGTGAAATATATAATTTAACAATCATATCAATTAAACTCATAAGATATAGATCGATTCGCCCATAAGTCAATAATCAAGTTGGATCTCTAGCCACAATGGGAGACATTCATGAGCTCTAAAAGAGCCAGCTCACGAGTTTAGCTCAACAAGTCACCGAGTCGAGCTAGCTCGCGAGCTTCACGAGCTGAACAAGGTTGAGCTCGTGCTCGACTCGTTAATAAACGAGTCGAGTTTCGAACGAACTTTTTTCGAGTCGAGCGCCGAACCGCTCGCGAGCAACTCGACTCATTTGCAGCCCTACTTCAAACATTATACGAAATTGCTTGAAATTTAAGAGAGAACAGATAAAATTTAAACAAGGGGGAAATGTATTTTTACATGATTCTTTATGAAATATGCAATTTGAATTTAATGAAAGTTTATAATAAAGTGAACTAAAATTGAAAAAAAAAACAACTTGATGACTAATGCTTGAGTCGACTTGAGTAAAATTGTTGATTAATAAAGGGAACCAGACCTAACCTTACACCCAGAGGGCTGGGCCTGTCTCAAACCCAGCGTGGTTTAAAGAAAAACATGCTCAAACCCAACCGAAGCAATTGGGCTTTGGCCCGTTCTTTAGGTAACAAATTTTCGCGGGACTCAACAAACGTCCCAAACAAGACTGTTCTAGAACGAGTCCCAAACCCCTATTTAAAACCAAACCGGATCCCCATTCGACAGCTGCACGCGAAGACTCTGCCATTCCCGCCGTCTGCTTACCCCCTCCTTCCCAGCCAGCAATCAGAGAACTCGATCGCCATGGATCCTCAGCCAGAGCCAGTCAGCTACATCTGTGGAGGTAACATCCAAAAACAAGAGCAACTTCTCATCTCTTTGCCGGTTCCCGTGAACAAGTCCCGCGTCAAGTTCTGACGGTTTAATGGATTCTGTTTTTTTTTTTTCTTCGTTCGTAGATTGTGGGACGGAGAACACTCTGAAGCCCGGCGATGTCATCCAGTGCCGAGAGTGCGGTTACCGCATCCTCTACAAGAAGCGCACCCGCCGAAGTAATCCTCCTTTCCCTCTCTCTCTCTCTCTCTCTCTCTGGGGGTTTTCAATGACGAGAATTAGGGCTTATGTGCTATCCTTAGGGTGTGATTCTCGCTCCCAATCATGACCTCGCTGGTCGTGATTCTAGTGATGCTCCCTATTTGGGATCTTTCGTTCCATTGATAGGATGGCGGATATCTGTATCTCTTCATTCCTATATCGCCCATGCCTTTAGGCTCATCTTTTGACTGCATTAGCATCTGAGAATGTATAATTGGAAAAATCTGAATGCGCAGAAAAGCCAAGGTAGTGACTTGTTTAGCTTGCTGATAATGGGGAATTAGTTGGTTGTTATTTGTGCGTTTGATTTGTGTATAAGTAGCATTTGGCTTGGGTTACCTTGATGGATATTAAGCTGTAGACTCTGTATTCTCCTCCTATGGCGACGAGATACTTTTCGCCAATGCAACCTCGAAATGAGCACATTTTGGGGGTTTCAAGTAGCGAACGAAGTCTGGAATGGGATTGCTAAATCATTTTTTACTGTTCCAGGCTGTTGTTCTGTATTTTAGCTCATGCTCTCTTACTAGCAAAGTTCTTTCACATTGCTGCTGAATGATATTCTAACACAGCATCTGTGTTTGCTTTTGTTTCAGTTGTTCAGTACGAGGCACGCTAGAGAACGATTCGCATGCTGATGACTGTGTTTACCGGAGTTGCTTGTGATAACCCGAAAGGGCCCCGTAACTAAGACAATATTGATGTTTGAGTGTTGCAGTTTGTAAACGTTACTGAGACAGACTTAATGTCATGAAAGTTTGTCATTTTATGGAATTGTGTCAATTTCTGTGGTGTTTTGGTCTTAAGTCCTTTTTCACGAGTGATGTACACTTAACTAGCAGTAAAAGTGGCTCTTTCAGCATATATATAGGAAGGAGAAAAGTAAACTGCATCCACTATAGTAACTGTAAAATAAATAACAAGAAGTTACTCTGTAGTCCCATTTTCCCGTTGTGGTCTCTCCTCTATATTACCTCTTTCTATCAAAAGAAAAACTGTAATCGATTCTGTGAGAAACAACTATACTGAGAGTATCAAAATTATAATGCTACAGCTCAGGAGCAACACCAGCCAGGAAGAACAGCTCACACTGGAAAATTTCCTGGACGACCCGTCGCTAAATACCGTCATCTGTATCATCTCTACCAACACCCTCAAAATTGCTACCAACCCGAAAACCAAGCACACTGAGAACACGACTATACCCTTGTTCTCCAGCCACACTTGATTCTCCTCAACCTTCTCGATCCTCGATCTGGCAATACATAAAACAAGATGAAATATTAGACAATGCTTGGTCGACTGTTGCAGCACAGGGTTTAGAGGTAAGGTAGGAAGAGGAAGTAACCTGAGATCAAGGTTTTCATTCAGGATATGATCCATTTTCGTTGTAAGAAGAGATTTCCAAGACACAAGATCGTTAACCTCTCCAGCCTGAAAGAACGAAAAGTCAGTCACATTAAATGGTTAGGAAAAATACCACTCTGGCGTCTGGTCCAACACAAAGCAATCAGAGTGAACTACAGAGTCACTTACCATAAGTTGCTGGCTGTCATGGAGACTCTTCATGTCGAGTTTGATCTTTTCCAGAGTCAAAGTTTTCTCTGCTATCTCTTTGTCGAACTCTTGGAAGATATTGCCATACCTGGAGTTGACTTCCTCAACGTACCTTTCCAAGATGGAGAGGCTTCGGTCGAGTGAACGGGCTTTCTGCATCAGTATCTTGAGGGCACTGTCGCCATTACTCCTACCAACTTGACGATAAGGAACTCCTTCAACCGTATCAGCAGCCACTTCGGTTTTCGAATCAGGAGTTTCGACTGACAACAACTCAGATTCAGCCTCTTTGAAAGAGTCCTGATGATGATGCTCATCAACCCCCTGTGGGTGTACTGATGATTTCTGCTCAGTAGAATCCTCCTCATCTGGCACAAAAACCTTTTCTTGAACTGATACCAAATCCTCCAGCATTTTTTCAACAGCATCAACCCCATAAACCTCGAAAAGGCTTAGTGTACAATAAAACTCAGACCCATAATGGCTCAGAAGATTCAACTTCAGATATCTCACCCATTTGGGCTCTGGAAGCACAAACCTTCTCGCCTGCTTGACATTGGCTGTTGTAAAGTTCCCCAGCTTGACCCATTCTGAAGTTGGATAAACCAAGCTACCAAGCACCTCAAAATCCTTTAGATTCGATGAGTAATGCTCGAGATTTGCAATCTCTACAGTATCTACTAAAGTTTCTTCAGAGAGCTCGGTTATGACATACTTCTCTTCTGCAGAACACGGATTGCGGAGGTACTTGTCCTTATCTCTCATTAAGATGTTTGAGGCCCCTTTTGCTTCCTTGTTGAAGGCCAAGACTTTTGCTCCTTTTGAAGATGAAGCATAGTTGTACTCTTTCCCTCCCGGCTCCATTCTATGTACCACTTTACCGGTTCCTGTTTTGGTTTTGGAGCTGAAAGCTCTACTTTTGAATTCATCAAGCCCAAGAGTGACAACTCGCGAGAGGCGATCGTTCTTTGGACCTATATCTCCTGGTCTCCCGCCACGGGTTGCCTCCTGATGGTGAAATTCGATTCCACAATTGCTATTATCTTCAGCAGCAACAAGCAACTCTTCATCTGGAGCTTTCTTTACAGCAGGATCTATACATGAAGTCTCGTCGGACTGCTCACTGACTTCTGTATGTACTGAATCAGAATTTTTCCCATTTTGAAGTTTCTGTTCTGTCCAAGTTGATACGCCCACACTCTGTGAAGTTTCTGTAGATCCATCTGACAACCAAGGACATAAATAGCAGAATCCCAAATTAGTTCCTCAAAGTAGAAGCAATTCGAAATAGAATATATCAACAGCGAATTTAATCAACTTCTTAGCAGGAAATCCAAAATCCCAAATCGAAAGTGAAAGTCTTTTGATTAGAAGTGATTATGTTCCTGCATGGTGTACACAAAACAACACTTTGGAAGTGAGCTAGAGCAGTTGAGCTACTCTGATCAGTTTTCCCCTTTTCACTAGAAAACAATCAGATGTGCTCAGTCCACAACTAATCTGGTAGCATGTGTCTAGGAAATGACAATCTGAACAGTCAGGTCTTCCCAACAAATTCTTAACCAGAAACAAAGGAGGTTCCTCATTTAAGTAGCATATCAAGCAGAAAAGAAGGTTTTCATATACTTGACATGTCCTCAGGCATAACTAATTAAAATTCTGTAATTCTTAAATCTGCGGAAAAGCTTAGAGATTTTCACCTCTATATCCATCACTTTGGCTGATCCACAGACTTGATAGGAAAACAAGCCCCCACAAAAGAAGAACCAAAGACAAAGAAAGCTTGTACAACCGATTCTTCCCACTGGTATCCTTCTCCATAGAAGCTCTTCTTTGCAGAAAAGCCCTCCGTGATCTCTGCATCGCTACATCAATCCAAGGGAATCCTGACCCTCAATTCATTCACCCAACCAATGAACAGACTGGCCACAACCTGCACCAAATCGAAATATGAATATCAAGGCCCTTTACTGCAATGGAATGAGCACAGCCCATCATAAATGCCGAGTCCCAATGGGTTTCGGAGATCTTAAAGCTTTGAAATTCAGTCGAAGTAGAGAGAAGTTAAGTATGAAATGTTATTGAAAACGGGACAAAGTCCATCAGCGTTCAGAGATTACTTGAGCGATGTTCAAAGCGATGCCAGTTGAACGAGAAAAACAAAGTAAACAGCAGGAGTTAGACTGGCAGTTGAGCTGCCATGACCCCGTTCCAGCTCAAACACTCTGGCAATAACTTCGGAGAAACGGCAAACCCAAAGCAAACGGCAAGTAGAAGAAGAAGATTGACCTTAGCAGTCAAGTTATTAAAAAACCCCACGTACACTACACTTCAATCACACGGTAAGGGGAAGAAAGCAAAACAAAACAAAAAAAAGCCCACCAAAATCCGACGGGAAATCAAAATGAAAATTCCGCAACCAATTAACGCAGATCGAACAAGGAACCCCGAAACTCCGACGAGGGGTAATGAGCTCCCGCCGATCGGAACCTCGGGATACCTGGCACAACCAGATCCACTACCGGAGTGGAAACGCGTTGCCGGAATTCGGGTAAAAACAAGGAAAGGGAATCAAATCGGAAAAAACAATCACCTGAAATTCACAGATTGCGAGTCGGGAAGTAAGGCTGTAAGGGGCCGGCTGGCGGCGGGAGAATCACGCCGGCCGTCCGCGGAAGGCGGACTGGAGGAGGAGGGAAGGAAAGAAGGAGAAGAGAGAATCGCGGGTGGGAGGGTAATGTTTGGTGGTGGGCGTGCCGTCGTTCCGCTTTTTAATTTTAATTTTGTTGCCTAACCGCCGCTCTTCTTTCTAACTTCTTCGTCTCCTTCCCGGTAACGGATCTCTCTTTTTCTTTCAAATTGCAAATCTCATTTTTGACAGATTTTTCTCTGCTTGACTGACTAATCTCTGGATTAACCAATTTTAAATTATAGACATTTTTTTTAGCAAACAACAAAAATTCAAAACAGTTCTACCAAACGGTGGGCTAAAACCCTTACAATTCAAATGTAAGGTTATATTGGAATACATATTATCTGCAATAATCAATCTGTCATTATGTTAACATATATATTTTTTGTTGCTTAATCATTTTTCGTCCATTGTTATTATCGACATGAAACTTTAAATACCCTTATAAACAACGTTTTTGTAAAAAAAAAATGCTCATAGAGAGGAAGTATTGATGAACTAGGTAGAAAAATGTCACTGTGTCAAAATACAATGGTCGTAAAAGTGCCCAATAGATGATCTGATGTCTGAGCGTTCATGTGGATTCGTTCTCTTTGATGCCTTGTGAACACCTTAGCAAGCTAACGATATACACTTTTCGCATTTTAAGAGTTAAGTTTCATCATAGCCATCATGATTGAAGTACTATAACACTCTTTTACTTCAAACTCAAGCAATGGTTGGTGAAAATCACATCATAAAAGAATGGGATGCAATTTATGTTATATACACGGTAGTTTATCATTATTACATTGATATATAAACTAGTTTATTCTTTTGAGTACCATAAGCTACATATACATAACATACAAATACATAATAAATTAAATTTGCAGCTAATAGAAATGTATGGACAGTTTGTGAAGTTCGAGACAAATGGCAACAGACCAATGGCCGAGCTGGAGGAAGCCTGTTGGGCAGTAGAATAAACGGCCGGGGATTGGATTGCTGCCGTGGCCAAATGAATCCCGCCATGTTCCTGACAGACTGGCTGGAGGCACCCGTAATAAAAAATCACTAAATTTTTTTAAAAAAACAGTGGGGACAGGTGAGGACAAAAATCGAAGAAAAGAAGGGAGGACTAGTGGAGATCCAACACTGAAAGTGAAAAGTCGTGCCAAGAAGAGTGAGCTGGCATCACCGTCATTCATTCCCCCGGATTGGCGCCCAACTCTATAACCAACCGAGAGCGGATCCAGTGACTAAGGGGGTGCTTAGTCACTTGACTAAGCCCCTCCCAGCCCTTAGATCTGGACACTTCAATCCAATGGTTAAAAAGTGGGAAGGGCTATTTAATTAATGACAGGGGTAGTTTGGGTATTATGGAAAATTACGAAGTATACAAACCGGATTTATAATCAGTACAAACCATACAAACATACGAACAGTACAAACTAGAGCGACAAAACATACAAACAGATTTACAAACATTACAAACGTATAAACTGTACAAACAATACAAACTAGACCGACAAACAATACAAACCATACAAAAAGAAAAAACAACCGGGTTGACTTTCGAGGCTCCATCTCTATATAGAGGGGCTCCTTCCCAAAGTCAACCTGGGTGTTTTTTAGACATACAAACAGTACGAACATGGTGGACAAAAATGACAAACTAGACCGACAATCAATACGAACGGGAAAAAACACCCGGGTTGACTTTGGAGGCTCCATCCCTATATAGAGGGGCTCCTTCCCAAAGTCAACCCGGGTGTTTTTTAGACATAAAAAAAATTACGAACATAGTGCACAAAAATGACAAAGTTTACAAACATGGTGCACAAAAATAACAAAGTTTACAAACATTACAAAAAAAACCGACAAACATTACAAAATAACAAAGCATACAAACATTACAAAATATATCAACAAACATCACAAAATTAACACTGTCGCCCCTGGCGATGATGTTCGCCGGAAAAAATTTCCCGACCAGAAACTCTCTCTCTCTCTCTTAGTTGAAGTAGGGAATTCCAAAAGAGTTCCAGTGGGGAATTCCAAAAGTTCCCAGCACCCATCCGCACAAGGAAAGGCCGCCGGCGGAAGGGACGGGAAAGGCAGCAGCCGACCGGAAGAGTTCCCTCGCCGGAAAATTTGTCGGCCGATGGAGGGGATGGAAAAGCAGTCCGCGGTAGGAACAGGCAGGGGACAAATTTTTTTTATTTACTTTATAATTAAAAATTAAAATAATTATACAATTACTACATTGCCCTTCATTAATTTGGATTAATTGGAACCATTAGATTTTAATGAGATGGAAGGGCTGAGATTGACTTAGTCATGTGACTAAGGCCCCCCTCTTAGTCACCTGATCCTAGCCCATAACGAACCTGAAGCCAGCTTTCGCGCGTTCAGCTAGGCGCCCAATTTTCACTGGCTGGTGGGCCGTGGGTGCAAGCAAACTGCAAACTCCCCGCCATCTCAGGCGGAACGCGCCACCGCCATTTTTAAAAACCACTTGTCCAGCCCACCCATCCTCCGCAGCCCACTGACACTGGCCCAGAATATCAGAAGAACAAACCTTGTCCGGCCCATGATGTCCAGGCCCAATAAAGTTCAAGTTCCCTTTTTGCAAACGAAGAGCGCGAACAGCGCGGGAAGTCGACTTGACCTGTCCTCCTTTCTGCTGCTCCATGGCATGGCACCTTCCATTGTTGCACCCTAATAAATCGTGAATCAAGCAATTAGATTTAGATCACACCAGCGACCAGCCTCTCATACGAATGAATAGAAGGGTCAATGAAAGCAGACAACAATAAAGCAATTACTGTGTTTCAAACTCGAGACAAGACTATCGCCATGACCCCAGCAACCTGCTTCTCTTATATCTCCATCAGTGATCACTTCCCCACTGAAATTGCCCAGATCATTCATCATTCAGCCTGTTATCTGGAATAGTTAACACGCTCTTCTCAATCTCTGCAAGACAAGCCCCCCACTTTCCACTTACAACCTCTCTTTGACAGAATCCATATGGTGCCCTTTAACAATTTCAAGAAACATATCCTTCGCTTCATCATCATCATCCACTCCATGGCCATTCCAAAGTACCTCTCAACTTTGCCAGCATCATCTTTTCTCAAAAAGCTTTGCGAGTTGAGAAATTAAACCCCTGGAAGCAAGACCGCCTGCCTATGATTTCCAGTGCACTTGAGTTAATCCTGATCACCTCGTCATCTTAAATTCTCAATGGTCCAAGTTGGATCTTTGCGAACGATTTCGGTAGCCATCGCTTCATGCAGGGCGTGTAACGACAGGCGATCATATCTGTCGACAAGAACAAGAGACCTGTCCACCAGAGATGTTATTCCATTTATTGCATCAAGATCGCAGGCGTCCAACACAGCAATGACAGCCTCCTTTCCTCTTCTTTTGAAATTGAATGCAACGTGGAGGAAAATGGTTCGTTCCTCAGAATCTAGTTCATCGAAACTAGTCATCAGATCGCTATTGACACCTGGTAGAGGAAATCGTGTTAGCTTCTTCAGTTTGCTCTCCCACAAACGTGCATCTGGCTTCGTACTTAAGAATTTCCCCAGCTCGATCAGTGCTCCTGGATTGCCACCGGCATACTTTATCACCCCTTCAACCACAGCATCAAAGTCGATTGAAGGACTGTTCCCACCGAATGCAACTAACCTCAGGAGATCGTGTGCTTCAGGTGATGTCAAGGGTGGAACCTCATACGTTCTTACCTCAAAATCCTCGCACCCAACTCCCTTAAAGACTTGTCTGTTCCTGGTGGAGACTATGATTCGGCTTTCAGCTCCGAATTTCACTTTATCGCACAGGTCCGCCAAAAATTCTATCTGTTGCACTTTATTCACTCCATCCAGTAGGATGAGAACTTTCTTGTACCCTCTATTCCTCATGCCATACAACTCTCGCCGCAATTGATCTCCTTCGTAGTTGCTAAGAGCACAAAACCCATCAAATTGACCACAGCAACTACCATACACACACTCTGAAAGCTTAGACTTCCCCATGCCTCCCATACCCCAAATGGAGACAATGCAGATACCATCAGATGGAGCATCCAAGAGATGTTGGACCTGCAGCATACGCGGCTTGATCCCGACTAGTCCTTTGTAATCTGCATCCAAGGACTCAAGGTTCATCTTCTCCAACACATTCAGAACAATGTCATCAACAACTTTTTCTGCGGGCCTTTCCTTTCCAAGTGATAGAATACAAAACAAACACAGACAGTCAACAGACAGATACCAAGACCGGTAGAGGATCAGATTCATGACATCGCTTGAAGAAGCTAGCTGAGAGTTAGGGTTTTACCTAATTGCAGGCGCTACATGCCTATCTCCATCACTGATTTCCACCGCATTTGACAGTGCAGCCCTGAAGGTGTTCGCCTTTTCAGGCTTCTCCGCATCGTATATAGCGAACGGGTCGGCGAAACTCCCACTCTGCTGCTCTACCACGGCCTTGGTCAAGCGGAAGAACACCGGAATAACGATTTGACCTGCAGCTCTGTGGAGTTCCATAATCAGGACCACCTCATCCAAGCACCACTCCGAATTAGCGAAGTTTTCCGATAAAACAATGATCGACATCTTGGCACCTACAATCGCTCTCTCGATCTCTGGCCAGATCTCTTTCCCTCTCCTGAAATCCTCATCGAACAAGGGTCGGACCCCTGCTCGGCGGAGAGCCGCGTAGAGGAAACCGATCAATTCATATCGCACATCGAACCCTCTGAAACTGATGAACACCAAGAAGTCATCGCGGAAACTACTGCTGAACACCCCGGGAGCCATTTTTGGAACAACAACAGTTGGTGTTGACTGCTGAAGCCTGAAGGAGGATTTCCCTTTTTTTTTTTTTTTGGACAAGGAGCTGCAGAACTGGAATGGAATCTCTCCCTTTTAGTCCTTCTGGTAGTATTAAAAAAAGACTTGAAATTTCAAGGTCTTCTTTCTCAGACTTTGTAACTACTAGAACGGACCCGCTCGCTTCACTTCGCGTTAAACGTGTGTTTCTAATATGTTCCCATACTTATTCAAAAAAAAAATAATATGTTCCCATACAATCAAAAAGTGAGAAATCGGAACAAAAATTGTATCTCACCCTAGGAAAAAAGAAGACATCCTAACCAGAAACCCAACTCTAACGGCATGAATAAATAGCAAAAAGTAAACGCCTGCTAAGCTTCCCAATCCAATATATAATGACAAAGGAAAATGGAAGAGGCAGTAATGTTTCAAACATAACATAGCAGTGCATTGAAATAGTCCACACCTGGGCTTTTGATTCGAAGAACGGTAACGGAAACATCGGAGGGAGATAGACGTATATCCCGAGAGTGGTCAGAGCAGAATAATTGTAGAAGGAAAAATGTGCGAGTGGGCAATGCATTTATTCCGCAAACAACGATAGATTGGAATCTTTAATACAATCACAAACACCATTATCCAACCGAAACGACAACAGGGAAAAATGACTTGTACATACGACTATAATCAATTTCCATTCATCCGATCCGTAACTTCTAAGAAAGATGAAGGAAAAGGTATCATAAAGCTCCTACTGCGTGGTTTGTGGATGACTGCTCTACTCTAGAAGTTATACAGATCTCTTTGCCGACACGACATCACATATATCGAATCAATCATGCAACTATGAATCCCGACCTGCAGAGTGTCAATTAAGCTCGACTAACTTTTCATTAGATGAATTTGGCATCAACAAATAAAAGGTGGGCTGGCAATTGATTAAAACTTTAAACAATAGCAAGTACACAGTTACGTAGTCGACAACCAATCTCCAATATTAGGAGAAATGGTAGACCACGTACCATGAAGTTAGAAGATCGAAGGGTAGAACTTGGAAACCATTCCTCATAGTTAGAGACTCTATGGTTCTGGTTTTGTTCTCGCTCGCTCCGAACCTGTCAAACACAGGTTCGTCAAAATTGCAGTGTTGGAGCTTCCTCGGAGTACAAAACAATGCATCCTCTCATTTTGCCACATCACTCAACCAACATCCCTTTGTGTTTCGGAATATAAGAAATGAAAGATGTATACATTAGAAGAAGCAGTGATATGTGTAGATTCTTGGAAGAGCTACTTTGTATATAGACGAAAAGTAAACTATATCCATCTTAAATAACCAGGTCCATATTCTCTTAACATACGAACCACAGTCTCAAGCTGCAAGTCATCTACATTCCAAGCCTAAAAAACTAACTCGGGCATAAGGAACCACCTGCATGGCATCTACATTCCAAGCCTAAAAAACTAACTCGGGCATAAGGAACCACCTGCATGGCATCTACATTCCAAGCCTCAAAAACTAACTCGGGCATAAGGAACCACCTGGTGCATACAAATATAACCCATGCAACTGAATGCTTCTATAAGGAAGCACGAACATCAGAATTGGTAAAACAATAAAAATCATGGCGACAACTTATTACATTGTTCAGGATGATACAAATTAAGATATTTGATTAGATGTTTTTTTTGTTAAAATCGTCTAAGTACAACGGTCGCAATCAGTTTCAGTTTAACTCCTCCATCACTATGTGCATTTAGAGGAGATTCTCAATAGTAGCTAATCAGGGACATTCTCAATAGTAGCTAATTAGGTATAGGATCTAATGGTTGCACTATCCTAACTGGGCTGCGATAATTATTATCTATGAGAAAGAATTCTAGTTGGGTTGTCTAACATCATACCAACTGACCCACAAAGCTAAAGACAGAACATGAGGAGGACCACAAAAGAATAGAGCTCAGCATCTAATCTAGTAGCAAACCAGTAGAAAAGTACTGTAGTCAGAAGCAGTGAAATTGATATAAACTACATCTAAGTCCAGGATAATGTGTTCTTACTGTAACAATGAGTCCGAAAACAGTAAACATGAGCTTGAATAATGGAAAATGGGGGAAAATCTAAACAGGGGATGTAGGAATACGCTGAGATGAACCAATGCTTAAAAGTTAATCAGGCCACCCGTAAAAGTAAGACTTGGCACATGAATATAAGAGTGGCAGTTGATGGAATGAATCGGAAGGAATTGATAGGAGGTGGCACGTCAATCCATACAACTGGAAAGGATCATCACAACTATGCTTCTGCAACTTTTAAACATACTAAACATGGAGACCCATGACAATAAAGATCTATACTAATTTTCACCTCCAAATAGCATATAACATTTCAAACACCAGAGTTAATGATCACAAACTGTTGAACAAAAGTGAACTTGCATTAAAAGAGTTTCAACATCATTTCACTATTAGGCTCAATGAAATTTGCTAGTGCAAGCCTCCAAAAGTACATATTCTAACCATTTGCAGCAATCAGTTCAACTGATCTCTAACTTACTTTCAATAGATTATAAATTTACAGCTGCACATGTTTTTGGTAATGAATCTATGAACCAACTAACACAAAAAAAAAAAAAAAACAACAGCAACCTTTAACCAATTAATCACCCCACTCCAAGAGGTGAAACACTTACCAAGGCTCAAAGGTTGCTACAACAGAATAGAGGAGCCCTTGTTTCCCATGTTATCAAGCACTAAATATGAGCAATTCCTTTATAACTGCAATGAATGCAGAATATGGGATTACAAAATCAATTGAAAGACCTTTATTTGGAAACTAAATCTATGCAAGTAAAGCTAAATGACCAAGCATTTCATAAAATTTCCCCTTAATATCTATGGCATCAACACAATGTTTTATATAAGAGCTTACAAAATAAGTAGCTGTAAAGAGCACAGTCCAGAACTGCAACTTCAGACCTCTTAACTACTCCATGGCTAGCCTTTGATTGTTAAGGGGCATGGTCCATTTGATAAAGGGAATGGTGAATGATACCATTGTCATTAGCCCTTTCACATAACTTCTGTGCTGCAATAAGGAGAATGGAGGCAATTAAAAGGCTGGAGAAAACAAAATAGAAAAGCAAAAGGCTTGTTGCTATTGCATTATATGGACTAAAAGCACAACAAAACCTACATCCACTGAAGAAGCAAAAAATCAGCACCAGAGCCTGTACCTTGTCCCTCAATGGTTGAACGTTGTATGGAATGCATGTCAGATAGCTTGATCGATTCATAGTGTACACATGATCTCAAATCAGCAATAGCAGTGCCAATGAATTCCTTAGGATACAAATGGATAGTTGAATTAGGCAAACACGAAACCAATTTTCAAATGCAATTAAGCTAAATAAAGTACATAACAAAACACTAAATAGACAACAGCATAAGAAGTATGAAACCAAATGTATTGGTAAATCCAAACCAAAACAGCAAAACCCGAACCATATTAACCTGTTTTGGTAAGTCCTGCTTCCCTCCATTTTCCAAATTATCTCAAATGAGCTACCATAGCCATCCCATCCCCTCATCTTTCCCCATCAATCAATGAAACAGAGGCCAACCTCCTTTTAGTTTGAGAAGGATAGAAATGGAGAATAGAAATGTTAGAGGAAGCAGCGATAAGCACAAGTTCATGAAAGCTTACTTTATGTAATATACCAACCTAGCAGGATTGACTCACAGAACAATGCTTTCTAGGTCCTTAGTATTCCTTCTTTGCATTCTAGCAGTCATATTAATTGCATATCTCTTCAATTGCAGCCAATCTAGCACAAGTGAAACAAAGTATAGTTAATACCTTCTCTTAGGGTCCATGTGTTTACATTGTACAGAGCAAATACAAACTGCAGACCACCATCAATTCGATAGGAAAATGCACGCAATTCTTAGTTCAATGAGGATAGTGTTGATCAATCGGAAATGATAACAATTAACTTGAACACTGACACCGGATTTACGTGGTATCCCTGGAGTGATCCAGGACTAATCCACGGAAGAGCTCTGAACACTCTTCTAGCTACTGATGTTATTAATCTGATGATCACAAACTGATGCAGTCGGCTGAACATATACAGGGAGAAAGGAACAAGAGTCGAACCCTAGGGATGCCCTCCTACTCTCGTCTGGGCTCCCATGCATGGGTTACATGGACTCATACAAAAGAATGGGCTATATCTAATGGGCCTCGTATAATCACGTACATAGCTATTTACAAACATACGAACCCAAATTATATAACCCGCTAACAGCCTCCCCCAAATTGATGCTGATCACAAAGCATCAATTTGCTCGAGAGATACCAATGTCGACTGGTGGAGAAGGCCTTGGTGAAAATATCAGCGATCTGATCCTCGGTGCGGACATAGTGAAGAGTTATAGTGCCATCGCCAACCAAGTCGCGGATGTAGTGCACATGAATTTCAATGTGCTTGGTGCGATCATGTAAGACTGGATTAACAGCAATCCGGATCGCACTCGTATTATCCACGTAGAGAACCATAGGAAGAGAACAAATAACACCCAGATCACGAAGTAGACGACGCAACCAGACAAGCTCAGAAGCAACATCGGACATGGCACGGTATTCAGCCTCGGTAGAAGACTTCGAGACCTTATCCTGTTTCTTACAGCGCCAGGAGATAAAGGCAGAGCCAAACTGAACAGACCAGCCAGTGGTAGAGCGTCTAGTATCAACACAGCCAGCGAAGTCGGAATCAGAATAGGCGCTCAAAGCAAAGGAGCCAGTGGAAGGAAAGAACATACCGACATCACGAGTCCCCTGGAGATAGCGCAGAATACGATGAACTGCAGCGAGATGATCAGTACGAGGAGAGGCCATAAACTGGCTAACAATCTGAACGGCATACGAGATGTCTGGACGAGTAGCAGCAAGATATATTAAACTCCCAACAATGCTTCTATAACCAGCGACATCCTGAAGCAACGCACCAGATGTGCGGCCTAACCGTAGATTAGATTCCATGGGTGTAGAAACAGGCTTACAATCCTGAAAACGATGATCAGACAGTAAGTCAGAGATATATTTACGCTGACTTAAGAGAAGGCCTTTGGAGTTCCGAGTAACCTCAAGACCAAGAAAGTATGAAAGATCCCCCAGGTCCTTGAGATTAAATGCGGCATTAAGACCCTCTTTAAGACTTCGAATACCAGCCGGATCAGAACCTGTAATGACCATGTCGTCGACATATAACAAGAGGGCCACGAGACCAGCAGCAGTCTTGCGGGTAAAGAGGGACGGATCATTTAAGCTCTGCTGACAGCCAAGATCACGGATAGTAGACTGAAACTTCTCAAACCAGGCACGAGGTGCCTGTTTGAGACCATATAAAGAGCGATTGAGGCGACAAACCTGATCTGCAGTACCCATGGAATAACCGGGAGGACACTCCATATATATCTCCTCCGCCAAGTCACCGTGAAGAAAAGCGTTCTTCACATCAAGCTGATACAGAGGCCACTGCTGACGGGAAGCAACTGCTAATAATGTCCGAACTGTAGACATTTTCGCCACTGGTGCAAAAGTCTCATTATAATCCACACCAAGCTCCTGCGTAAAACCTTGTGCAACCAGCCGAGCTTTATGTCGTTCAATGGTACCATCGGGATTCATCTTGATGGTGTAAACCCAACGACAGCCGATAACAGATGTGGAAGGAGGAGGTCGGGGAACTAACGTCCAAGTGTTGTTAGCATGCAAAGCATCTAATTCACGCTTCATAGCATAGTCCCAGACAGGATCACCGTGAGCTTGCTTATAGCGAGTGGGAACAATGTAGGAATCCACACCATACGCAAAATAATCATTGAACTTAGGAGGGGGCACACCTTGAGTAAGCCGAGTGGATCGGCGCTGTGGGGCAGCTGGAGGTGAGGCAGTAGCGGACGAATGCAAAGGAGATGAGGATGAGCTACTGGCCGAGCTGGGAGGCGACGCAGATGTGGCCGGGGAGGTCTCTTGAGCGGACGAGCTGGCCAAGGATGGAGAGCTAAAAGAAGACGAGCTGGCCGTGGTGTGGGTGACGGACGGAGACAGATGCGGAGTGGGAGGAGTAGGAGGGTCAGCAGTAGGATCAGGACAATCATCATCATCATGCCCAAATAATGGTAAAGGTAAATTGGATGGAAGAAAACTTGGGGTTGACGAAGGACACGAGTGAAACATAATGTGTTCAAAAAATATGACGGTTGTAGCAATACGCATACGTTGAGATGAATTATCAAAACATAAATAACCCTTATGCACATCACTATAACCCAGGAAGACACAACGAGCAGTTTTAGAAGACAGTTTAGTACGCTCTCGCCTAGGAAGAAGAACAAAACACAAGGATCCAAAAACACGAAGACGAGAGTAATCCGGATGCTTATGATAGAGCGCATAAAAAGGACTGACGTTGTGCAGGATCGGAGTAATTTGATAATTGATAAGACGGACAGCGGTAGCAACTGCCTCGGGCCAAAAACGGCTAGGAACATTAGAAGCAAGAAGCAGTGCACGGGTAAGATCTAAAACATGCCGGTTTTTTCTTTCGACTAGACCATTCTGTTGGGAAACGCCAGGACACGATTTTTGACTGAGAATGCCTAGAGCCCGATAAACCTCATGTAACGGAATGGAACTGAATTCACCACCAGGATCGGAACGTACTATTTTCACAGGACGATCAAACTGAGTATTAATCATTTTCAGGAACTCAGTAGCAACCGATCGTAGTTCCGATTTAAGACGCAGGAAGTAAACCCAAGTAAACCGTGTAGCATGATCAATAAACAGGGCAAAATACCGAAAACCATGTCGAGAAATAACAGTGGACGGACCCCACAAATCAGTATGAATAAGATGAAATGGTTGATCGATAACAGTGTCACTGGATGGAAAAGAACGACTAACGGTTTTTGCTTCTACACAGCTCGTGCAGGAATGTTGTGCAGGAATACTAACGGTATTTTTGCCAAGTAATGACTGTTTAAACATCATAGCTAACCGACTCGAATGAGGATGTTCTAAACGAGAGTGCCAAAGATCCCAGGCATTATTAGACTGACTCGAAAAACATGAAACAGGACTATGGACGGACCTATCAAGAGAACTACTAATGGGCGATGATGATGAATCTCCACGAAACTCCTCGAGGTGAAAAATTCTCCCTCGTTTACTCCCCTTTCCGATCTGCCTCCCCGTCTTCAAGTCCTGGATAAAGCAGCCAGATGGAGCAAACAAAACAGAACATCCCTCTTCGGTTAGTTGTCCCACAGAAACCAAATTCGGAACAAGGTGTGGAACATGAAGAGTATGTGGCAAATTAAGCTTGGAATCATTCATTATACCCACTCCCTTAACTTGTAACTGATTACCATTAGCAACCCTCAAAGACAAGTCACGAACAGGCTCCAAATTTGTTAAGCAGCTAGAGTCATGAGTCATGTGATTGAAACATGCTGAATCAAGGAGCCAAGGAGGTTTCTTACCTATCGATCCATGGAGAGTAGCAAAGGCTGCATTAATGGCAGTAGGGAGAGATCTTTGGAGGGCTGCGTTCACCATTTGTTCAACATCACTTGCGGAGAGACTCCCACTACCACTGCTGCTTGCGGCGGTGAGGTAAGCTGGGCGATCACTATGACTATTATATGAGCGGTCAACAGGTCTATTATATGGACGTTCAGCATGTCCATTGTATGGGCGATCAGAAGGTCCATTATATGGACGTGAAGAGGAACCTGTAGCTGGCGGATTGCGTCCGGGAGGAGCAGCAGCCATACCGCCAGTGACTCTTGCCTCATGCCTTTGTCGAGTGCGGCAGTCGAGCACTATGTGACCGGTTCTTTTGCAATATACGCAAAAATTCCAGCCACGACAGTGCTTCTTCAGGTGGCCACGCTCATGGCAATGATGGCACTCTAATTCGGAGACAGGAGTGCGGCGTTGGAATTGAAGTCGGTCGGCAGCGTAGGCAGATCCTTGGGACGCAGCAAAAATGGTTTCCCCTGCTCCAGGACGTACGTCCAGCTGGGCCTGGGTTCTCATTCGAGTCTCTTCTCGAATCAACACCCCTAGCATGCCATCAAATTTAAGGTCGGCCTGATTCAGCAAGGTAGAGCGGACGGTTTCAAATTCGGGCCGTAGCCGCATCAAGAAACCCATCAATATATTTTGTCTTCGTTCGGCTAGTGCATCTGCTGAAATGGATTGTGGACGAAGAGCAGCGGCTATGATATCCTGTTCGGTCCACAATTCTTGGGCGGCGTTGAAGTAGTCCGTGACGGATTGATCGCCTTGTTCAAGGCGGGCCAAAGCCATCTGTACTTCGAACTGACGGGCAATATTCACCGTGGAATATGTTGCTTTCAGATGCTGCATCATCGCGTGAGAAGTAGTGAACTGACGGAGAGACAAGCATGTGGAGGGATCGACACAATCAAGCAGCCAGGATCGAACGCGGGCATCCCGCTGATTCCACTGATCAATCTCGGAGGCAGGAAAAGTAGGGCGCGGCTCAGGCGTGGTCCCATCGAGTATGCCAAGCATACCACGACCTTCAACAAAGACTCGGAACTGGAATTCCCATAGAGCAAAATTCGTAGAAGTCAAACGAACGGAGGGGCGATCAGAAGACATTGGCGGAAGCTCTGATACCATGTTGATCAATCGGAAATGATAACAATTAACTTGAACACTGACACCGGATTTACGTGGTATCCCTGGAGTGATCCAGGACTAATCCACGGAAGAGCTCTGAACACTCTTCTAGCTACTGATGTTATTAATCTGATGATCACAAACTGATGCAGTCGGCTGAACATATACAGGGAGAAAGGAACAAGAGTCGAACCCTAGGGATGCCCTCCTACTCTCGTCTGGGCTCCCATGCATGGGTTACATGGACTCATACAAAAGAATGGGCTATATCTAATGGGCCTCGTATAATCACGTACATAGCTATTTACAAACATACGAACCCAAATTATATAACCCGCTAACAGATAGCAGGACCTAGCAAAGGAACATTGCACTAAGAAACACAACATAATGGCATAGGCAAGGGAGAGCTTCACAAACCCACCAAGTGATTTGAATGTCTGTCTTGAAAACCCAGGCCAAGTTACGATTTCAATAGCCAGCGCTAGAGACCAAACCCATAAACGGAAGAAGAAGATCCAAAAGCTGTTATGGATTTCGTTGCCTCGCCCACCGGACCAGCAACCAGAGATGGAGAAACAGAAGAATAAGGGATGGATCTCCCCAAGCTGAAGATAATGAGTAAGTTGGGATTAGTGGATTACCTGTGATTCAGCCGCCAAGCTTCGAAGGTGGACTTCAGTCGGCGAGTTTTAGAGGGAGACGGCAGCGAGCAGTGTTCACTGGTATCGCCTCGGTGAGAAGGGGAAGGAGAAGGCTAGGTCAGAGTAAAGAGGGTACCCATTTCAGCGAGGCGAAGCTGCAGAGGTGGTTCCCGACGGCCGCGATGGGGTACGACAGTCGCCAATCCTGCTATTTCGTGGGTTTGGAGAAGTTTGGGAACGCAGTCGACATGGGATTCCGCGTTGTGGGTGCAATGGCATGACTGGAAGAGAAGAAAGAATTTGGGGGTGTTGGGCGAGTCCCGAGGGGCAAGGGAGCGCTTCATCGACATGGGTGAGGGTGACGTGAAAAACGGAGGTGCAGGTAAGGGGAAGGTCGAGCGTGTCAGAATGGAGAAGACCGGACGAAGCAGTTGCAGAGGCACGACAATAATCCGGCGGGTAAAGAAGAAGTCCAGGGTTTCTTTCTCAGCGCGTCGGGTAATTAGGTGCTGTGTTTTTTTGTGTGAGAGGAGGAAGATGCAAACGTGGCCCATTCAGGTGGAAACGAATGGAAGAAGCCCACTCGCAAATAGGAAACGTGTGGGCCACTAATGAACAGTACTCAAACTGTGGCTTTTATATACCAATTGACAAACAGGTCCTTTCTCCACTAACTACTAATGACAAATAGGGAATTTTAAATTTTCTTTTCTCAGTCTCAGATGCGCGCGGACTTACGCGGGTTGGGGTTGACTAAAACGGAGCTTCTTCTCCTTCCTCCGCCGGCATCCGCCGATCCACTTCCGAATTCTTGACCGATCGATTATCCTCCAAGGGATGGAGGCGGCGTCGGTTTCTCCATCTTTTTACCCATTAGACTCAGGAGTGTTGCTGAGTTACGAAGAGACAGCTACAGGCTTCGTGAGCCATCTCCGCAGCGATCTGAGCATGGAAGAAATCCCAACAGTCTCTCTCATGGAGGAGCCCGACGCTGACCGGAGACAATTGCTCATCGATCAAGCCAAGGTCTCCATCGTCTTCCTCTCTGTCGGATACGCCGCGTCGCAGCGGCACATGGACGAGCTGGTGAAGATAATTGACCGGAACGAAGCCGAGAGAGACTGCGTTATTGTGGTGTTCTACCGTGTGACGACGGACGATGTCGAGAAATTGGAAGGGGAGTTCGGGGAAGCGTTCAAGCATCTCGCCGGCGGCTTCTCCGACGAGGTGGTGGAGCGGTGGAAAGATGCTCTGGTCAAAGCAGGATACCTCACAGGACGAGTGGTCTCTCGCGACCAGTACAGTACAATTCTCCTTAATTGTTTTTTTTTTTTTTTTTGTTTCAAGTCACTGTGCAAATTGTTGATCGAGATGCTGAAAATTGTTCCCGTTCTAATTACAGACATGAGTCCCATCGTGTGACTCGAGTTGTGGGCGACGTTTCACGGTGGCGGACCCATTTGCGCATCCCTAATTCGAAGGGAGATTTCGAGATCGACAGACGAATGAAGGCTTTGGAAGCCCTTGTACTGCTACACGACGATGGTGGTGGTGGTGATGGAGTCAACGGCAACATTTGTGGCGTTGGAGTTTGTGGGATGGGAGGTGACGGCAAGTCCACTGTGATGAGGCATGTCCTTAGCCACATTCAAGGGCAATTCGATGGATGCTGCTTGATTAAAGACCGAGGCAACGAGGCCATCAATGGGGAGTTGTTTCGTCTGAATGATACTCTATGCAGGGAGAAGAACAAGGTCCTGATTGCCCTGGATGGTGTGGATGTATCTCAACAGGTTGAACATCTCCTGAAACGGTGTGGGTGGATTGGTTGCGGAAGCAGGATTATTGTGACGACGAGAGACGAAGACGCCATTGATGTGGTAGCGCATGGAGGGATTAAGGTCGGCACAGCAGATCACAAGATTCGCTGGCGACCATACCACAAGGTTGAGGGGTTCAGCGACGAGGAAGCCTACAACTTCCTCGTGAAGATCGCCTTTGGTGGGAGGGTTCTTCCTGATGATCTCAACCAGGTGTTGAAGAAGGTGATCAGCTATGCGCAAGGTAACCCATTTGCTCTCAGGGCCTTGTGCCGTGGTGGTCTGATTGGGAACACCGGTGCCAGAGTCTGGAGAAGCATGGTGGAGAAATTGGACAGAGTGGCGAATCTGGACATCCAGGCCAAGATGAAAACAAGCTACGACGCACTACCTGAAGAGCAACAGGACATGTTTCTCGACATCGCCTGCTTCTTTGAAGGGGAAAGTGTTGATTACACAGTAGAGATGCTGGAGGCATGCTACCCTTATTGTGATGTAAGAGATGAAGTTGGGTATCTCAGGAAGAAGTCGCTTATATCGACGGATGGTGATGTTATAGGTATCCACAGTCTACACAAAGCAATGGCCAAAGAGATCGTCCGTGTGGAGGTTGGGTCTCCTGGAGGAGATGTGCGCCGGGCCAGGATGCTATGGAACCATGACGATGTTCGTCGTGTGCTGAGTAATGGTACTACGGTAAGTGCATCGATTCGAGGTATAAACCTGGACATTTGCAAAGCAAGGAGGATGGGCTTGCCTCGCGATGCGTTTGCAGGGTTGAGCAATCTGAAATTCCTCAAGTTTCATATATCTCCTAGTTGTTCTGCACCTTGTGGAGAGCATCAGCACTACAAAGTTTATCCATCTCAAGCTTCCATTCGTCTTCCTGATAAGCTGATGGTGCTTCACTGGCATAGATATCCATTGGCCTCTTTGCACTCGCTGTTTAATCCTCGCAACCTCGTTGACATTCACCTAGTTCATAGCAATCTGGAACGGCTATGGGAAGGAACAATGGTTGGTTAGTTTGTATCATTGGCCTTTTACCTATCAATCTATGTGTTCTAGCTAACGAGTTGTGTTTTCGCCTTTTGCTGGAAACAGGATCTTCCACAGTTGAAAAGGATCAACCTTAGTCATTCTGAAAGGTTGGTGGAGATGCCAGATTTGTCCATGGCCCCAGAGGTGGAGACCATAACTCTCGTGAGCTGTGTATCATTGGCTCAACTTCCATCGTCGATTAGAGATCTGAAGAAGCTTATGGTGCTCAATCTGAAAGATTGTGTGAGTGTGAAAGTTGACAACTTGCCAAGTCTGGCTGCTCTGGGAAGCCTGGAAACTCTTGTCCTTGCAGGGTGCAGCAGTCTTAATCAGCTTCCAGAAATGCCGCCATATCTGAAGAAGTTAGTCGTCGATGAGGAATGGAGGAGTTGCTGCTAAGCAGTCAGATACCAGGAATCGTCTCTTCCCGAGGCTGGGACATATACCATACTGGGCGCCTTGGATTGAGATTTAAGAGGGTAGACCGTAGATGTATTAGGAACATTAAGAGAATGTCCATTCATTCAGAATGGGGTCTTTGCGATTTTGCTTTTCCTTCAGTTGTTTTTTGCTCAGAGTTTGCAAGAAATAACAGTTCATGGTTATTTCCCCTTTGATCACCTTCAAAACTTTAAGATTTGCACATATATTTTTGGGTAATGTCTATTTTTTACCCAAATTTTTTTCAGATTCTTTTATTTTAACCAAACCTATTGAATTCCTAAAAATTATCCAAACGTTAACTCTCCGTCAACTTTTCTGTTAGTAATGCTGACTAAGTATGACCATAATGAGTTGACTTCCTACGTGGCGGTCAGAATACCATCATTTACTATTTTTAATAAAAATATTATCAAAAAACAAAACAAAATCCCACCCCTCACGTGGACGAAATAAGTAACGGTAACAGAATGAATGCCCAGACTTTGATAAATTATAATACGTTTGGATAATAAATAGAATTTCTATAGGTTTGGTTAAAATAAAAGAATCTGAAAAAGGTTTGGGTAAAAAATAGACATTGGCCTATATTTTTTTTTGCCTATAGAGTATAGACAAAGTAAAAATCATATGATCTTAACGTGAGAATTTAATAATTTACTATATTCACTTCCCATCTTTAAATAGTCATCCACTCTACTCTTTCTTATAAAAAAATATTAATTTTGGTTAACTACCGTGTGTATATAGTCTAAATAAGCTGACGGTTGTATATGCTTCTTTATACTTCGACAAATTACAATAGTCGATTGCTATTTTTTATTAAACTATTATTCGAATTTAGATTTGAAGAATCGACACTTGATATTTATCCATTAGAGAATAGCGTATAGTATCATACACCAAACTCTATTTAATTCATGGTCCCCAAACTCTATTCAATTTATGATCAAAACTCGAAAGTGACACATCATACTAGAAGTATCCAAAATATCTATACTTCTCCCAACTTTTGACTTTTGAGTAATCATAACCAAAGTTGGTTAATTATGTGTATACTAAGAATGAGTGGGTATTAGGGGTGTCCATTTGGGTAGGGTTCAGTTAACCGAACCGAAACCCGACTAAACCCAAAAACTCGAAACTGAAATCACTAAAACAGAACCCAAATCCGATACGGACTTTCAGTTTTCAGTTACTCGAAATCCGAAAATTCCTTATCGGGTTCGGTTAAAGCACAACCGAAACCCGAAAACCCTAACGCCTAAGAATACGGGCTGAGTGCTTTCTCTTGGAGGTTTTTAGTCGAAATCCGAAAAACCGATAAGCAAAAACGAACCCGAAACTAAAAAACCCTAAACCCGAAATAAACTTGAACCCGAAAACCTGAAAATGTATCTAATCGGGTCGATTTCGGGTAAATCCGAAAAACCGAATCCGAATGGACACCCCTAGTGTAGGGATGACAACAAAACCCGAACCCACATGTACCTTACCTGACCCAACCCGCGTTGACAGGTTTCGGGTCGGGTTTGAGTTTAAACTCGTACACTATTCATCGGGTTGGGTTGAGTTTGGGTTTAGGGGCACCTGACCCATGGATACCCGCTCACACTTATTTCGTCGCCCTATTCTCCCCAAACCCTGCCCTAATTCTAATTTCCTCCAATCTAACTCTTACTACACTTATTCCGTGTGAATTTATTTAGTGTAATTGTGATATGTTTGAATTTTCTTGAATGGTGTTTTATGTATGGATAATTTGTATGGAGAAATTGATGTTTGAATTTTATTTTGATATAAACTTGTTATTGTAAATTTTTTACCACAAAAACCAATGGGTACCCATGAACCCGCGGATACCCAACGGGTTGGGTTTGAGTTTTCCAAACCTAATGTATTTTACCCCTATTATTTTTATGGATAAACCCATGGATATGGGTTTGGGTTGACAAAACCCGACCTAGCTCGACCCTTTGCCACCCCTATCCTAGTGGCCAGTGGGTATTAAAAATGCTTTGTTTGGAAAATATAAAAAATGCAAGAGTTATGCATGAGATG